TATAATATATAAGTTATACAGCTGGGAGTACAGTTAGTAGTAGATGATGTTGGAACATTTGCCAAGTAGACTAAAATGATATGTTGATGGCCACCAAGCAGCAAGGATGACTCAGATAGATGTCCCAACAGATGATGAGCATTTGACGCATCATCCACCGTATCCTCCTTTTCCCTTCGATTACCCCATCCTTCCTCACATCCACAAGTCGCGTCCCACACATTGGAGCGCCGCGTCGCTATTGGCTAGGGGAGCAAAGTGGATTTTGGCGATTCTTCCAATATCTCGAAGTTTCATGAGCTTCTATTGGCTTGAGGATATTGCAAATGACCAGTGAATGCGTCGACGGAATTAGGTACCATGGGCCCGTGATGATGTTGTCATTACTTGTCAAGTAATATTGTGATATGAGTTGGTATGACGGGATTTTGTGGGGGTGCTTAACTGCTTGAAGAAAAGAATAATGCCCGTAATGCTGTCAAGTTTTTCAAATTTCGCACTGGAGTACGTAGAAACAACGCAAGGTACGATGTAGCAAGTATTCCCCGTAGCTGAACACAACTAAGTATACAAAAAGCAAAGCGGAATATGACGAAAGGTAAGACTGATATTGCATATGAGTATCGCATTTATCCAGTCACCTGTCTAGCCAGCTATTTGTGACTTACTGCTCCCTCTCCGTTATTTGTCCATACTCTTGCTTCCAATGTATTTGATTCTTTTAAGGCGTGTGTTGTTCCCTGCTGACTTAAGGAGAAACTCATTTTTCTCTATCTTGCATCTCCAGTGTCTGTCTGTCTCCATGGCCCTGGGGCTGCATATTCCTCGCTTTGGTCAGGTGTATCCGGGTTTGACTGAATTGCATAAGAAAACATGTTTGCAGCATGAGTTCACAAGCGGATCTGATATGACCGAATCATAGCCAGTAATTCTTAACCCCGGAGGTGGATCCACGAGCGGAAATCTTATCCATCACATCAACCCCCCTATTGAGCCCTTCCAACCCTCACGATAAGAGGTTTCTTATCCCAAAACCACCAAATCCCTTGCTTCTCCCAGGCCGGCACATCCACCCCCGCTAGATCATACCTCCACAACAACCGTGCCAGAATGAGCCGTAGCTCCATCCAAGCCAAATTCTGGCCAGGGCAATTATGCGAGCCCAGTGAAAATGGATTGAAAGCTTCCTTTTGCTTACTCATATCTTCTCCCAGCCACCGTCTCGGGGCAAACTCGCCCGGCCCAGTGAAATTGCGGGGTGCGCGGTAACTAGCAAACGGAGGGATTGAGACAATCATTCCTTCTGGTACAAAATGCCCGGCCACCCTGGCTCCACCCCGCGGGACCTGTCTTCGCATTGCATCTGGGATAGTTGGGCATAGGCGCATGCCCTCCATCAAAACTGCGTCGAGATATGAGAGAGATTTCAACCGAATGGCTGTAATATCCTTTTCCGTCGGGAAGGTGTCATGGAGCAGGTCTACCAATTCACGGAGGGTCATCTGGTCGCGCAGAAGATAATTGATGACTCCCGTGATAATGGTCGTAATTGACTCACTCCCCGCTGCGATGATCAGCATGGAGTTTACTTCCATCTCCTCCTGCGTCATAGCGCCCGATTGCATCATTATTCCCACGAAATCTGGTCGCGTGGTTGTACTAGAAGTAGTGGTGGCTACCCGCTCCGCCACCTTTTCATCCGTGACCTTCCACATCTCCATAACTGGCTTCAGGGCATCCGCTGGGGCGATGGCCATCATGAAACGATAAAGCAGAGGATAGAATCTCATCGAGCCAACAACAATGGCAGCTTTAAACTGGCTAACTGTTTGCACCCAGGGATGGTACCGCAGACCCTCGAGGCACCCAAATGAGCTACCCCAGGTGAGATCACCTATCACGTCGAAGGCGAGGTAATTGATCCATTCCACAAGGTCTAAATCAGCACTTTGGGTGGCACTGTCGGGCCCACTGCTCGTAATCTTTGCGTCCAGCTTAGCAAAAAGTGCATCGATATATTTTTGTAGAATCGGTTCCTGAAGTGCAGTGAATTTCTCCGAAAAGCCCGGTGCCAGGTTCTTGCGAAGACGAGCATGATCAGCCTCCGAGCAGGCAATTAGATTCGGTGCTGTCTTGCCGGGCGGTTGGTCTTTGTATTGATGCGGGCGGACAAATTCACGGTCTGAGGTGTAGATGTCCCGCCAGGCGCGCGCGTCTATGAACGAGAGTTCATCAGGTGCAACACGGACAATGTCACCATATTGGGTGTGGAAGTCATGTATACGATGAGGAAGTTGGCCGCTGATATTGGTGAGAATAAAGGGGAAACGGAATGCACGCCAGAGAGTAGGGCCGGGGTAGTGGGCGAGAGGATGGAGAAAGAGATTATAAATGACAAGGGTGGAGAGATACTGACTTTCTAGTTAGTTTGACTTGCATAATTTCCGGGAATTGGAGATGAGTACTTACGAGGATAAGCAGGATGGCCGCAATAATGAAAAGAGCCATTGCCTTGTGGTGAAGGAGGAGAGGGGTGTTGGACGGCGAGATACTGAGAACAAAAAAAATTGGAACAAACAACCGGCGAGGAGGTGGAAGAGTACGGGGTGAGGTAGCCTCTCTGTACACCGGGCATAATCGGTAACGATCGCAACATGATTAGCGAGAGGCGGAGTTTACGTTCTAAACTAGCATGAGGGCTAAGCATGTTAGTTCGCTGACACTAAATTAAAATGCGGGGGTTGTATGGAAACAAGAAAGTGATGTGGCCCCCACAATAAGCACTAGGCATGTCCCTTAACTACGCCGTATTTTACACAGGGCATGCCACAGTAGGTTCTGGACATACAGCGCCCCAGAACCGAGGGACCCACATACCCTGTGTGGTTCTCGTTCTGACAGCCCAAGCAGAGGGCATAGTGGTTCTATTTGCTGCACGGGCCTGCGACTGGTAGCTAATTAAAAGCGGCCCAGACATGACAGGCTCGTTAGTAGATAGCATCCTACTCCGCACCTAAAATCACAGTTCATGTAATAACCTGCCTGATCAGGCTAGTTGCAGCTCTATGGTGCCAGGGGTACCTCGCTCTAGATTGATCGAGACAAGGCAAACTAGATACCGTCCCTCCTCCGCAAATGGGATCACCTAATTCCTGTCTGTGTCTTTTGTGTGTAGTATATCCGGATCTGCTAAGGATCTCGGTCCGCTGGTCCATCGGTGCGTCGGGCGGAAAATTCCTGGACCGATCCTCCCATATATGCTGTCGGAACAAAGAAATGAGGCGAAGTAACCCCTCTATCTCGAGCTAAAGTGCTTCTGGTGCGTTAGTGTAGACATCTGCTCCACCACTCGGTAAAGTCATCTTTTCGGCGACCAGTCCAGCCTGGCCATTTACACATAATAGCCCTTGTTCCTCGCGAGGCTCTCGCTGGTATTGTCCTCACTCTCAATTCCAAGCGCCGTTAATTCTCAGTTTCCGAAAGAAAACAAGAAATAGAACTGAGCAATTCCAACATGACGTCTTTGCAGCCCATCAAGCTTTTCTGGCGAAGTATGTTCCGTCTTCCTAACTTACCGTCCCGATAAAGCAATGCTAACAAGCGGAAAAACAAATCCAGACCAAGTACCCAACCCCTCCAAGGTCCTCATCATCCTCGAGGAGCTTAACCTTCCTTACGAGTCCTCATGGGTCGAACTTGACGGCCTGAAGACCAAGCCCTTCACCGATGTGAACCCTAACGGCCGAGTTCCCGGTATGTAGAATCTATCCATTCCTCCGCAACACGCCATTATCACTACAGGTCCTGATGAAAATCGATTGATAGCTATCATCGATCCCAACACCGGTCTTACTCTCTGGGAATCAGGTGCCATTGTCCAGTACCTCATCGACACCTACGACAAAGACCACAAGATTTCCTACGACACATTCCCGGAACAATATCAATTGATCCAGTGGTCTTACTTCCAGGCATCAGGACAGGGTCCGTACTTTGGACAATCTGCATGGTAAGTTAAATTATGCCACCCAGCCTTTTGCGCCCACCAACGTTCGACCCTCTGACACATTCCTTGTACTTCTTAAGGTTCAATATCTTCCACGAGAAGATCTATGGTGAATCCCCGGAAAGCGCCAAGGTGCGCTACGGTGCCGAGGTCAAGCGTGTAGCGGGCGTGTTGGACTCTGTTTTGAAGGAGCGCGATTGGCTAGTGGGCGACAAGTGCACGTACGCAGACCTGGCGTTCGTCATGTGGAATATGCAGATTGCGTTCTTCATGGCTGGTCGTGAAGGCGATCAGGCGTGGCGTCCTGAGGAGTTTCCTCATTTCACACGCTGGCAGCAAACCATGCTGGCGAGGGAGTCGGTCAAGAAGGTGGTTGGGGTGTTGATGGATCAAGAGGTGAAGAGCTCTTGATTAGATTGGTGGGTTTGATCATTGGAAATATCTAAACATTTGGAATGTTTGCCGGTGCCATCTTCGATAGGCCTCTTTGGTTATATATTTCTTTTCCTAAGTAATAATGCATTTGTCGGTGTGATGAACACACAAAGCGCGGTCATTGCGCCTTGTCATCTTTATTATACAAATGCAAAGCTATATTCGGAAGGGAGGGCATACTTAGAAGTTGTAATATATAACTCGGAAGAACGAAAGGTGCCTCGATACTAAACATATAGGCTCTACTTCTGGGTCGTAGACCCAATACAACAGACTTCCTCATGAAGATCATCAGAATCCAAATGGCACTCCGGAAACAAATCATCAAGCGGGAACAACCGACCACCCCTCGGCAGTAAATAGTAACTCCTCTCTCACGCGCATCATTTCTGGATCCACATAGACCTTCATTCTCATGCCCTGCTGTCCTAGATTATACACTCGGAAGATCACATACACCATGTCCATGTTATCAGACCGTGTCTCGCCATTGGACATCTCTTGCATCTACTATAGGTTAGTAATATGATTGCAACAGATAGGTGACTTCTCTTACCCGTCAGTACTGGTGCTTGCTCATGAAGAAAGGCGTAAGGTTGTCCGCAGTAGAAGATTTGACTTCTATGTAGAACCGAGGTGTCTTTCCCCTCCACACATCATCCCGTAGGTATCCTTTGTCTATGAAGAGGGACGTGAGAACTCCGTCCTGATCATCGTAGGTAATGTCTGCTGTCTCACGACCATGCCATGCTGTCATGTCGGAATACTCGGAGACAACTGTGACGAATTTGCGGATCACGATTTGCCAGTTGTCGCGGGTGAAGGCAGGTAGGGGTGGGTCTAGTCGTGAGAGGAGTTCGAATACCTGCTGCGATCGATATATATTCTTAGTGGTAAGGGTATAGGTAAGATGGCTTACGAATAGTTCTCCGGCTGCACCGGCCTTGAAGTCCCGTTCAAACTGCTCGGAGGCCCGCAGACGAATGGTCTCGGAGAATGCAACCGATGTGATTGAGTCGTCCAGACCTGCCATGTCGAAGGTACATTGGCTGGGGAATATGGTATTCCTAGCAGACGCGAGCACAGAGGAAAGCAATTGGTAGTATTCGGGGTCGGCTGTTGTGTTTGTATAATTCTGTAGGAGCACTGGAGATGGGCGAGTTACAGGGAAAGACGAGTACCGGCCAAGCATCTTACCATTGCTGAATCTTTTTGAAAGGCAATAATAACCAGACAATTCTGATTTTTCAAGAAGAACAAGTCCCAGTGGGCTGGCCCTGTTGGTCCTGGAGAAATACTAAAGAACGCCCGGGAAACACGCCCTTCATATTATGTGTTGTGGAATGGCAGGTGACGGACCGAGAAAGGCAAGGCAGCCAAATTGAATGCAAAGAACACGGCGTCCACGCATCCGGCTTTCTGCAGAGCCCCTGATACGAACTAATGTCTCTTTCATGCAGACATAAATCATTGTGAAAGCTTAACAATTGCGGACCGAAGCGGACTAGTAATTCCGGGTTCACACCCAATGACTATACACTTTCGTCTGTTGTCCCACCAGCAGCCCTAGCAAAATCCCTCAAGAATCTCCAAGTCCCCTCTGCCTTGTATCCCTTGACGTCCCACTCATTAATGCTCCTTGGGAAGAAAGGAAGGACATCCAGGAGACTTGCATCATGCGAAATGATAACCATAACCTTGGATGAGCCATCGAAGCGCAGCAGCTTTTCTAGAGCGATCTCAGCATCTTTGAGATCCTCGTTCATTGCAGCGTTCAACTGGTAGAAAGGAGTGACTTTGGCATCTAAGCCTCTTATATTTGCAGAGGAAACTGCCTCGAAAATGGAACCGGGACATACGGAGGGCGAGGAGATATCCTCACCGAGTGGCGATGGCCTGATTTCGGTCGGAAGCGGGAGGTGTTTGGTTGGACGGTACTCCCCGGGATGATGAGCGATATCGCCCCCCAGGAAGATGAATCGGTCCTTCGACGTCCGGGCGAGAGCACTGATGTGGTTGTGCGCTATGTTTTTTTTTTTAAAGTATCAGTAACTTACCACCCAGCAAGAAGCATCAAGTTGCGCCAACATAGCGATACTCACTATGTCCGGTTGATTTGAGCAGATACAGGCTTCCATCTTGGAAGAAGTCGATGGCCAAAAAGCCACCAATGGTCATGGCGTTCCAGAAGTCCAGCACGACCAAGCTACGGCCCGAGAAGGCGTCGTCAGTCACCAGAGCATCGGCATTGGTAGGATAACCCGGGAACGTCCTTTTATTGCGCTTAAAGCCGGGTCCAACGATTAAATCCGTGGATGGGGGAAAAAGAGATGGATCTCCTGTATGGTCCATATGGTGGTGTGACCAAATAATAGCGTTGATCGATTCCAGGGGGACATTCGCGTTGCGAAGTTGATCGGCGACGTCTTGCTCAATGTCCACTAGTGCCTTAGCAGACTGGATTTGGTGAAGGACTTTTTGTTCGATCACCATTAGCATATATAGTGGACTAACATTTGCTGCACGGGTGAATAGCCCGGTATACACTATAGATGGGGATCTTGCTCACTAGACGGCGGCAGCTTTTCCTTCCAATTTTTTCTTATCCCAAGGTCAAAGAGAACCTTTTTATTCAGCCTTCTGTTCTCGATTAAGAAGCTGTAGCAAGGCATGTCAAGCACACTATGCCCAGCAATTGGCCTGTCAACCACGTAGGCTGTGGGTACTGTCGTTCGTCCCGCGTGGATAACCGATACCTCCACAATCGTGCCCATATCGTACGGTAGCAACGGCGCCATTGCTGTTCATGAAGCCGAGAATATATTGGGCGAATAGAAATAATTTGGTCTGTCGTAATGAACCGGAAAGCTTTACTATAGATCAAGTGGTTGTGTTTTAAGGAGACATCGGTCTATTTAAACTCTGTGGCAGTGTATAGGTGAAATCCGGCCCGGGAGGTATTTGGGCATCCGGATTGCCATCGAGCAAGAATGATTATGCATCGTACCCCGCGGGACTTCTCAGAGATTTGAAATCAAATTGAATCCGATAGCTGAAGGTGACCGATGATTATAAATTGAGGAGTAGAACATCTCCACCGATTTGAAAGCAGTAGTCAGTTCTGCATTCTGTTCTCATAAGCGGTATCGGCGGACGATTGTTGATACGACAGGATGCGACACTAATCGACATGCGAACATGACGGGTTCACGCTATTTGCTACGTATGATGAAACTACTATATCTGCCATTGTCTTGGGCTGTTCCACTTCTTGTTGTCCGAACATGAACATGGATGAGGCTCGTATATTACGGCGTTCCGACGGAACCCGTTGCCCGTAGACTACATAACTACATGCGGCGTCAGTAATGATTCGTTGACATCAGCTCCGCGGAGGTGCATAGGTGCGGCTGTACGTGCGGAGTGGGGCGTAGTTTCACGTCTGTTAAGCAGCGAGGGGTGCTCAACAGTTTCTAGTCAGCCTCATGCCTTCCATCGACAAGACCTCAAAGTTTATTTCCGCCAGCAAGTTACCGTTACCATTGGGCCCATACGACTGAGACCGCATGGCCTCTAGCTTCACCAAACGTACATAAAATGTTGTATGGAGCCAGGTTTGGACGCAGGTTGCCTCATTCTGTCATCACCTTGCTTTTTCCTCAGCTACAACAAGACGCTATAGCAAACTCTATTCATGGCTTTATCAACAACAGTTATCTTCATCCCTGGTGCGTGGCACAACCCTCATTGTTTCGACAAAGTGACTCAACGGCTGGAATCCGATGGTTACAACACAGACGTCGTTCACTTGCCCTCTGTTGGTCCTAACAAGCCACATTCCGATTTCTTGGAAGATGTCCTTCAGATCAGGGAACAGATCCAGAGTGCTGTCAATGCTGACCAACGAGTGGTGGTCGCGATGCACTCGTACGGTGGGCTTCCGGGCTGCGAGGCAATTCGCGGCTTAGACTGGGCATCTCGACAGCGCCAGGGTCAACCAGGGGGTGTCGTTCATCTCTTCTTTTGCTGTTCGTTTATCGTTCCGGAGGGGAAATCATTGATGAGTTCTTTTGGCGGCTATGATCTCCCTTGGTTCCAAGTCTCGGACGATGGATTGCTTGTGACACCGGCTACCCCCAGAGAAACATTCTACAACGACATGAATGAACTTGATGCAAAAAAGGCTGTCGAAGCACTAAAACCGCATAGTTACCAGACATTTCATAGCAACATTACCTTCGCGGCTTGGAAGCATGTTCCGTCCACGTACCTCTATTGTCTGAGGGACGAGGCCATCTCACTCTCAGTGCAGAAAACGATGGTGGAGGAGGTTGCTAAAGGGATCCAGATTCAAACTCACCTTGTGGATGCATCTCACAGTCCTTTTTATACAGCGCCAGACCATGTGGCAGATGCCATCAAGGCCGCTACTCAGTGATCCTAGGTTATGTTGAGAGGGTACGATGACTACAGTCCGAGATGCTCTGGATAGACATGTCTCTAGAATTGAAATTTGCGATATACAGAATCCTACATCCGGCTCAAAAATGGCCGCTATACCAAGTCACAACTAGAAATTGAGAGTGGTAGATATAATCTCTCTGTAGAGGAGACCAGCTATGCAGTCACTTCCCTAAAAGTAGGAATCAAATACTCGGAAGCTACAAGGATCTCAAGCGGAAACCTTAAAACAATACAAGAAAGACGTCTTCTATATCTATTGCTAGGGAGCGCTCGGTGCAGGTTGAGTACAACCCAGGGGACAACAAAACAACCTGCACGGGTCTGCAGGCCCCTTTCCGCACTGCAAACACACCGCGATCCACACACACATTCTGCGGGCTACCATACGGGCTCTACGAAAACAGCCCGCAGTCCGTGCAACTTCACGTGCCTATGCTCTACCTGTAGATTTACCGCTTTCTGTAGTTGGACCCCGCGTACGAGCGCCACCGCCAGATTTCAACTGTCTTATCCGGGGATGTCGTGGATATCAGGGATGTACTAGACTTAAATATCCTAATGCACTTAGGAATTAAATTATATAAAATGTCACCTCCTGTTGATAAAGCTAAGGCCTTGGCACCGCAGACAGGGACCAGGAAGGGGTGACTCACAGCGGTGGAGTATTTTATCAATTAATGGCATCCCTTGGCCGTCCCTCAAACAACCCGACATCATCTTCGCCTAATCCAATCTGGACATCATCCATCATGCAAATTTCACTTCAGGAGATTGCGGCCAACGCCATTCAAGCCAGGAGACGCATTCGCCATCACATCTACAAAACCCCTCTAATACCAGCCAGACGAATCGGTCATGATCAGGACGCAAAGGTTCTGTTTAAAGCAGAGAATTTTCAACTCACCGGGTCTTTCAAAATACGAGGGGCACTTTCTAAACTGTCGTCCCCATCAGCACAGGGGCCTCTGATCACAGCATCGTCAGGTAACCACGGCATCGGTGCCAGTTTTGCCGCCAGAGTGCTCGCAAAGAACCTTACCGTCGTCCTTCCCGAGACAGTGGTGCAGACAAAATTAGAAAATATCAAGTCGTTCGGTGTCGACGTGATCCTGCATGGTGCGGAGACCGGTCTGGCTGAACGGCACGCGCAGCAGCTTGCTTCGTCGGGTTCCTACACTTATATCTCGCCGTACAACGACGCTGAAGTGATTGCCGGACAAGGAACAATCGGACTTGAAATCCTTGAGCAGCTGGACGAAATAGATAACATCTTCATTTCCATGGGCGGTGGTGGGCTTCTCAGCGGTGTCGGATCTGTTCTCAAATCTTTCTCCCCCAAGACGAAGATATATGGAGTCTCCGCCAGCAATTCCAAAGCGTTGGCAGCCTCTCTAATGGCTGGTCATGTCGTTGAAACGGATCATTTCCCTACCCTGGCCGAGGCTGTGGCCGGCGGTATTGACCAAAACACGATAACGCTTCCTCTCGCAAAGGCGGTCGTGGACTACGTTATTGAGTGCAACGAAGCAGAGATCCTGAGATCCGTGAAGGCTCTTGCTGCTCAGGAGAACATTATCGTCGAGGGCTCTGCGGCGCTTGCTCTTGCAGGATTCAATAAAGTCGCTGAGAAATTGACCGGCCAAACCAGTGTCATCCTTCTATGTGGTGGGAATGTTGATCATGATTATATCCAGAAGGTAGTATGTAGCTAGCATTTGAATGGATTTGGTAAATGATAAATTCGGCGAACCCCCTCACCCTTCCTCCCTTCCCCCCTTTTAACTTTATCACAAGCGTACTTCGTTGGACGGATTCTGGACCAGCCAACAGACGTACTCAGCTCAAAGTCCAACCTCATTCACTCCAGTATATGTCTTCCGCGATGACACATGCGCTAGTCAGGAAACAACACATATAGATTTGCAGTTTGCTGACTGCGCCATGTATAAATTTGCGTCACCTAAAGAAATCAAAAGATGACCCGTATGATGCATCCCACTTCAGCCGCGGCTGACAGCAGCTGACAGCAGCAATGTTACCGTCTGTTTCTGCAGAACACGATCGAGGTCAACTTTGTCCAAATGTAAGCTGGGTTCAATACTATAGAGTCGCGCCTGGTGTGGAGAAGAAATGGGTGTCCAATGGGGCCCGTATTGTGTGATGGGACAATTTTATGGGCTGGTTCGATTTCTAACCATTGGGGTAACAAAGGTGAAGCAGCTGTTCGTCACGAGAGGCGAAATTCGTTTTCACTGGAGACACTGGCCGACTTCCAGCAGAGGTGCCTAATGTAGGGGGTGCGGGTGCGGGTGCGGGTGCGGGTGCGGGTGCGGAAAAGGCGCAGTACGTCAGAGACTCCGTAGCAACCCTAGTCCGAGCCAAGTCTACAATGACCCGTCTGATTGGGGTTAGATCGCAGGAGGTCTCCCCTGTGCCACGGGCCGTAAGTGAATTAGACTACATTCACTTATGAGACCACTTGTTTCTGCCACACTGTCCCCGTCCCCTTCCCCGCCTCTCCTTGGTTGCTGTCCCGTGCATCTCCCATTTTCTTTATTACCGGTCAACCTGCGGCCGCACGCAACCGTTATCACCGCCACTAGAAGGATAATGGCCCCGTTGTACGGAGATAACCTTTTCCCGGCGTTAAACATGGACCTAGTTGGGAACTTGATCCGCGGTTTGAACATCCTCGCGTGTTATAAAGTGTTGGTGACGCAGCTCAGTCTAGTTCATTCAGTGAATTGGACCGGACAACAGTAAGAAATCATAGAACGAATGCCAACACTTCCGATCAGAATGTCGACTCACAAAGCCCTGGTGCTCCACGCCCGGGATCAGCCACTCATCCTTGAAACTGTCCCCCGGCCCATCTCATCAACCGGTGACGCGATTGTTCGCATCCTCGCTGCCGATATCGTACCCTACATGGGAGACGTGATTAGCAACAAGCGCCCTTACCCGCTCTCCGTGCCCATGACACCGGGGAACACCGCCATTGGCCGAATACACGAAGTTGGACCGGATGCCGTGGACCTAACACCTGGCCAGCTCGTCTTCTGCGACATCACCATTCGCGCCCGAGATAACCCGGCTGTCTCTATCCTCTATGGTGTCCATGGCGGCGGATATCCCGCAGCACAGAAACTTATGGACGGCGTCTGGCGTAACGCGACGTACGCTGAGTACGCGCGATTCCCGTTAGAGAATTTATACCGCCTGGATGAAGCGCTTCTTCTTGGACCACTAGGATACAGCATTAATGATCTCTGTCTCTTGCCAGTGTGCCTTGTTCCGTTTGGCGGTCTTTCAGAGGTCGGCTTGAAGCCTGGCGAGGTAGTGATCGTGGCTCCCGCAACAGGGCGGTACGGCGGCGCCGCTGTGAACATTGCCCTGGCAATGGGCGCGACGGTGATTGCTGGTGGGCGGAACCAGACCATGTTAGAGAAGCTTAAGAGTATTCATCTTACAAATCGACTAAGAACGGTCCGGATCACCGGGGATGCTGCCGCTGATACAGAATTGTTCCGTACAGCAACTGGGAAGCCGGATGGAGCAGACGTGTATCTGGATCTTTCGCCACCAGCAGTTCAGGGGTCATCGCTCCTAGCATCTGGCATTCGATCATTGCGTGCCTTCGGTCGATGCGTTGTTATGGGAGGCAATTCGGGAAATATCGACTTCCCTTACCTCGAGATCATGTTCAAGAGTATTCGAATCCAGGGGCGGTTTATGTACGATCGCCAGCATGTGCAGCAGATGATCCAGATGGTCGAGTCGGGATTGCTTCCTCTTGGCAGCAAGTCTGGTGTCTCTCAGACGAAGGTGTTTGGGCTTGAAGAGATCCAACAGGCGTTGGAGTCCGCTGGTAATCTGAGCGGTTGGGGTGAGCATGTGGTGCTCAAGCCGTAGAGTATACAAAGCCTCACACCAGCCGGAGACTCTATGTGCTATCTCCGTGGAGTGGATGGGCAGAATCCCGGGCTCAGCTCGCAAGGCAGCTGGGTAGTTGCATGGGTAGTCTCATGTGGACGACACTTTGAAATCAATTCCCATTCCATATATGCCTGCTAGATTTCATCCGCTAAAATGTTGGTTAAAATGTTCCGTACTCCCTACACCATATAGAGACCAGACAGCGTAGCCTCCAGCTGGGACCACAGACGGCGGTTACCGATCCGACTTCCAAAGGTTCTCATTCATTCCATAGAACCCAATCTCTAAACATGCTTTTCCAAAGAGCATCGAAGCAATTGAGGAGGATAGAAGAGGATACAACTTTATATCTCCAAAGCGGTTGGGCAGGATGTTTACTCCCAACGAACACGGGTTCTATGCATAGCGTCATCTGAGACTACAAGCGAGCACCTATCATACAACAATGTGTTGTACTAGGCTCTGACAGAAAGGTCTACGCCGGCAGGGCCATGCCATCAGCCCTGAAGTCACTTCCACCTTCAAGAACCGTCTGCCCACCCTCACCATGAACAGCCCGTATGACCTGTCCTCGACCAAAAACCTCTCTATCCCACCCGTGCATCATGCGAACAACATGGCCTCGCCTTCTAAGCTCTTCCACAACCAACATATCTACCCCCTCTTCTATGTAAACCGTTCTGTCATCCACGCTCGCCGACCCAAAATGGCCCATAGGCCCAATACAGACCCTTGGGGCATCGAGTGCCTTCTGGGCATCCATCCCGAAGACGAGCATATTGATCAATAATTGCACATGTCCCTGAGGTTGCATGAACCCACCCATAATCCCGAACACCGTATGTAACGATCCATCGTCTGGATTCGTAGCTATGGCCGGTATAATCGTGTGATACGGCCTCTTGCCAGGAGCAAGTACGTTAGGGTGTCCCGGTACTAAGGTAAAATTGGCGCCACGGCTCTGAAGCGTGAACCCGCAACCACGCGGGATAATGCCGGTTCCAAAACCGTGATAGTTGCTGTTTACCACGGATGCGGCGTTGCCATCTTTGTCTACGACGGCGAAGTACACTGTATCGCACGAGTTGAAGGCGGGACTGCCGTGCGTCATGGTATCTGAAGCCTGGGTCGGACTGAAATGCCGGGCTCGTTCCGCTATATAGGCTTCGGACAAGAGTTCAGGTGTTTGAGAGAAGGTCGGATCCCCTATCCACCACGTCCCATCGGCAAAGGCGATGCGGAAGATTTCTATAAGTGCATGGATGTAGTCTGCGGAGTTGTGGCGGAGGCTCGCGAAGGAAGCTAATTGCTCGGTGCGTTCTAACTCCTCCAACAATTTCAGGGCCATGAGAGCAACGAGACCTTGGCCGTTCGGTGGGTGCTCCCAGACATCGACATTTCCATTAAACTGAACGCGAACCGGGTCGGTCTCTGCGGTACCCATATGGACATGATAGACCAAGTCTGCGTGGGAGAGGAACCCACCACGATCTTCCACTGCCTTGACAATAGCATCCGCGACTGCGCCTCGGTAGAAGCCATCCTTTCCCTGCGTAGCAAGTGTACGGAATGTCCGTGCAAGGCTTGGGTTTGTCATAATTTCTCCGGCCAAGGGGGCGCGAACTCCGTCCTTCGCTCTGGTGTCGGGTTTGAGAAGTTCGCGGAAATTGGATGACGCCTCTCGCAGTGACTGCTCGTTCTCCTGCCACTGTAAACCGTCAGCTTCACCAGAGCAGTATTAATCCTGGGAAGGAACCACCTTACCAATCTCGCAGAGATCTCAGAAACTGGAAATCCGTCCTCGGCAAGAGAGACGGCAGGCTCTAACATCTCCGCCAGTGAAAGCTTCCCGCTACCAAACCATCCCAAAGTGTCTACCCATCCAGCCGCTGCCCCCGGTGTCGTGACAGCCAATACGCTGTTAAGCGGAATATTACCACTTTGGCCAGATGAAATCTCCAGATTTCTCCGCGCAATATCAAGCGTGAGATTCATGGGACTACGGCCAGACCCGTTCAGTCCGCGTACTTTACCGGTCTTGCTTTCGTAGAAGAGACAGAACATGTCGCCGCCAATACCGGTTGACCCTGGCTCGGTAACATTTAAAGCAGCCGCTTACGGTGGAAATGTCAATGAGCATAAATGGATAAGCGGTTGTAGCTTACACGAACCTACTGCTATAGCTGCATCCTGGTAGACTGTCATTCGCCGTTGTGCTCGCCCTGGGATTATGGAGGACTAACCGCTGCATTCCCGCCCTTCGCCAGAATGGCCTGTCCTGCACTCGCTGCCAGCGGCTGCGAGCATGCTATCATGCCAGCCACACTGTAGACAGCGCTCCTCCGACCAAGGAAGGGGCTAAAGGGGGTTTTCTGGAAGGGAAAAGCCATACTCAATGAGATCGGAACAAGAAAGGATAGCAGATTTGCCAGTGAGTAGGTCTCTATGAATGTTCTGGAGAGCCGTGCCATCGTAGGACTTAAGAGGTTTCTCGTGGACTCGACATATATGTTGTAGTAGCGCTACAGGAGGTTGAAGTAAACGTCACCGGAATTGGTGCTGTCCTCCCCGGCAAGGACCAGCCAAGGCCCACAACGACGGCTGCAAGGCCCACATGGCAACGGAGTACCGGAGTTAAGGAGCGGAGGGGGAAATACAGTAAAACATGGTTATAAGCAATTATATGAGACACACCATCGAATTGCTTATATCGAGGTCTTGCTAATATTGAATATTCTATCTAAAATATTATTTTATTGCGTATCTACCCTTTTTGTTTTAATAGAATATTATGTTCCTGATATGCTAGCGAATATAAAAATATTAAATCAATATAAAATTATACATGAGGACTTCGTCGATCTTGAATTGCCACTTACCAAGACACCCACCCAGCATCTTATAGATGATTTCACGTGGGTCCATAGGCTCGGTGATACCAGCAGGGAGGGGATAGTGTGCTGTAAAGGTATCCTTCTCGTCCTGGTTAATGAGAAACCCGGTGGCGACTGGAAACGCGTGCCAGAAACGTCCGAAATGCAGTTTCTGAGCTAGCTCTGTGGATCAGAAGTGAACCAGGTAGAAGCGTACGTGACTTCTCAGCAGCAGCAAGATCACTAGTAATTGGTAAAGCTAAAGAGGTCCAGGGCGAGAATGTCCATACATCTGACCTCCAGGCATTTTAATTCCGGCAGATTTCCTGACTCTGCTGCTGCCACCATCACAGCCCACGAGATAGCGAGTTCAGTCTGTACGCGTTGCGGCAGTGCCATCAATGAACATAGCTGTGGCTCCATCGTATGTTTCAACATGGTTCGTGTATGTCCATCCAACTTTAGAGGTCACATTCGCTCGGGTAGAAATAATCCCCTTAAGCCAAGCCTCAAAAATAATCTGCGAGCACCGTTGTCCCGGCTCAGCGGGTTGTGTCCCATCATTATGTGCCTTTATGTACGGGCGAGGCGGGATAGAGAGTTTTGTGGGAGACGGCAGATTAAACGGGCGTTTCACCGCGGAGGTTCCGAAAGGCCCTTGAAGCTGGGAGTGGCTTCAAGGATGACGGGATGGCTGTTCCGGTGTAGTTTGACTCCTGTACGCCTAGTACACCCGGACAATATCTGATTAAGCTGCGCAGAGATACTAAGTTGGCCAGATTTGCGATATCTGTAAGGGACAGTGATGTGCGTCGGAATTAAAAACTCGAACTGCTTAAAACCGGCTCAGGTGGGAGCCAGGTGGTAATCAGCGGGTGAGACGAACCCACTCCCGGTACGGCCGGTGGAATGACATAAAATCTACACATACCCGCAGTCCTGCAGTTGTAACGGCACCGAATTATCGGGATAAGGACGGTAAGGGAGAATATAGTAAGCCACGAGCATAATCATGTGACTGACAGCCTTGGCGTTAGTCCAAAGCGTATTTTACCCTGGGTCACGTTTTGAGTTGTGGCCCCCCGCCCCCGCCCCCGGCCCGGAATTGGCACTTCCACTACTTTATCTAAGCAGCGTCCCAGTCGCTAACATGTCGTCGTCCCACCGAGAAAATGGAGCCGAACAAGAACAGGGCAGAGCTGCGCTGGTCTGTTTGACCTGCAAGTCAGGCAAGCGACAGTGCGATAAGCGACTTCCAATCTGTTCTCGATGCAGAAAGTACGTTTGACGTCCGATTGACACCTTAGTACTGAAGACCAAACAGGTTCCATGCACCACGGATATTAACTTTAATTTATCCTGTAGACTAGACAAGCCATGCGAATACCCAACGGCCTCGCAACCGGGACCTGTGGCTCAGCCGATCCAATCAGGGTCATTCATGGAGAGGCTCTGGCCTGATGCATGTTTCCGGTGTAAGGTGCATAAACGTGGATGTGACCGCATCATTCCAAAGTGCTCCCGCTGTCTGAGGTACGTATAGACTGCTGGGAATTACCGGGCCGCCCCAGGGGGGGCAAGGGGGGCATAATTGGACCGCCAAATTGTATTGACGAGGAATATCTTTAGAATAGGATCCAGCTGTACATACCGAGCGACGAACCCGCGGCCCACGGTCGTTGTCCCTGGTGATACTGAAGCAGGCACCTATAGAGCCCAACTAAGGATGGATTCCGCTCCATTGGCACAGACAGACCTAGGAGTGGCGTTCGAACCTCCTGTGAGGTGTCGCTCCTATATGTTGCACTTAATACAATTCTGTGGGTCATGTTGCAGAGCCCCATTTAAATACACTAACTACTCACCACCCGAAAGTTCTCACCTCTATAGCTTTACCCTCGGATACAGTGGTGGCTTACAGTCTGGCACACCATCTCCGTTCTCAATGGATGCAACACGCTATGTCCGATCCCTGTCTATTCCATGCCACACTGTTCAGTGCATCCGCATCGATTGACATGCTGCAAGGCCAGCAGCATAGCGCACGAACGCTGTACCACCACACCTGGGCTATCCGCTTGATCAACGAACGGTTAGCACAAACAGAGCCAGTCCTAGACTATGGAACTCTGGGAGCGGTAGTACCCTTGCTATATTACAACGTGGGTATACGTCCTATAGGATACAGTATGCAGATAGATAGTACTAACGACTCAAAGATGCTTGCACTTGACCGAGATTCCGCGGTCGCGCACCAGAAAGGCCTGGTGAAGATGCTTCTTGCGACGCCCCAATCCTTTCGAGCCGACATAGGACCCCTGATTGCCATTGTCAAGATGTACGTGGCCATTATTCCTTCCTGAGCTGATTAATTTGTTGCTCATCCTTCTAGTGCCATGCTCTCGTTCGCCTGCATATATGACGTGCTCCCTGTCTGGGACTGCTTATCCTCTGAATCAGTTCGCCCGAACACCATCCTTCGGAATGTCGTGTCGAGGGCCACCTTGGGCAACGATGAGTCGTCTTTCGAGAAAGAGACTGCAGATGCAATATTGGACGTGTACGAAGCCATATCACGGCTTGATTATATAGTCCACGGCGAACGCGGTAGTATTTCTGCTGAAGTTGAGCGTGCGCTCTCTTTCGCAACCACGAAGTCTTGGACTGGTAGGCCCGAATCTAGCCTCCCCCTTACTCCGCCAGAGACGCTTAATGTATGCTGCCAAATCTGCTGCGAATTGTTCTGGAAAGTGCTTCTACGATCATCGCACTCTCAACAAGCACCAGACATGGCTGGAGACCATGCAGTCCGGCAGCTTCTAAAATACCTGTCGCAAATAGAGCCGTTATACTGGATCCGCAACGCTCCGGAAGTGTTCACATGGGCTGCCTTTACCGGCGCGGCTGCGTCGGAGCACCAAGATACGTGCGTTGCTTTCATCAGCAAAGCGGGAACCATATTGACAGCCATCGACGACGAAGAACTGACTCTTATACGGCAAGGGTGGAGGTATTTCCGCCTGCTAAAAGGTCTTGCTGGAGATGATAACTAGCTTGCTGTTTTGGGAGACGGTTGCTACGGATCGACTGGTGAACGAAATGGTGTATGAATTCGCCTATTCATACCCTCGACTTCTAAGGGCCTTCATCGTCCACTCCCAGAGATCCTCCGCCATCTTCGGGTCTGATCCCACTTTACTAGGCGCAGACACCTTTCCAATTGGCAGCAGATATGCTCCATTGTCGCACTCTAGCCGTAGCTTCGGCGACACGGCGGCGAAAAGAATATTCGCTGCCCCCTTCCGTGGACCAGGCGCACCCAGCTCAACAAGAGGCTTTATCAGCCGATAGAGCGGAGTTGACGAGATCGGCCCTGCGGATAGGTTCCTAATAATTGTCACATCCGTGCTTCGAATGGTTGGACAGGGAAAAGCAACGTACGTCTTTACCGTTCCCGGATGCAAGGACAATGTAAGAATGTTTGGATACCTCTTCGCCAATGCTTTCGAATGCAGAACGTTGGCAAGCTTCGAGTGGCCGTATCGGGCCCAGACAGAGAAATTATCCTTCATGTTCATGTCTGAAAATATTATGCCCTCCTTAGGTGCGAGTTTGGCGTGCCCGTCGCTAGATACATTCACAATACGCACGCTTCCCTTTTCGGTCATTTCTGCTGTCTTCTGGAGTATCGGGATCAGCAATTTTGTGAACAGGAAATGGCCGATATAGTTCACCTAACTGCGCTTAGCTATAGGTCCAACGAAGCTGGTATATAAGGCTGTACCTACCCCTATCTGCATCTCAAACCCCTCCGTTGTCTCCTCGTATGGAACGCACATAACCTGGAACGAGTAAGCCATGCCTGAGGAGGAGAAGAACCCTACACACGCCAGCATTATTCACAAGTAAATGAAGACATGACTCCTGCCTACACCATCTATTATCAGAGACAGGATTCACACATGTCAAAAGTCGCTAATACAACTCACTGAGCAAACATCTTTGCTGCCTCCCGCACATTATTCAAATCGGCCAATTCCAACATCAGAAACCGCACATCTGCATCTGGGCACTCAGAAAGGATATCCCGCTCTGCAGCCTTGAACTTCGTGCCTGACCGACTGGCAATATACACCCGGGCGCCATGTTTCGCAAGTTCGATGCTGGTGCCGAAGCCGCTGTCAGAGATTGAAGAAATGAGAGCTGGACGAGAAAGAAATTAATCGAGTTAGGGGAAGTGGCATACAGTCCTGTGTGTCCACCCGTTACGATGGCGACTTTCCCAGTGAGATGGGGGATAAAATCATGCGAAGTATTACTCATTGCTTGAACCCGGGGAAGGACAGTGCTGCGTTGTGTCTCGCTCACGCTGCGGGTTGTTCTGCTCTTTTATCTTACAATAATACTTCGACCGGGCAGCTGCAGATGCTTGTCTCGAATACTGGTATAGATGCGCCAGTCTTCGAGGGCAACGGAGGCAAATGACGAGGTGCGGGTGCGGGTGCGGCCGCATGTCAAATGCGGGTGTGGGTCGATTATCTGTGCGCTGGAGGATTTTACTCACGGTTACCCCATACCGGGAACGGAGGGTATGGATACAATCGCCTTGATAGGTTGCTCGGTGAATCGTTATGGTTTGGTCCTGTCCATGTTTAAGGCGAGCCTGATGTGGTCTTGATGAAATATACTATTAGTGGCATTTATTTCAACTTCCCGGAGGTTTAGCAATGTAGTGCTGCAGAATCGAAACTCTTCTCATCACTTCCTATCTGGCTCTTCTTGATTCTACGGCTCGGATTGCGCAATAAATGATTATTGTTACATAGCTGGTACAGGCCACATGCCGCGGCCGTCTCAATTCTAGTCTCTACGGGCGTCTTCTGGGTTGAGAAGGTATATAGGTATATAGGCCTCGTCCTGAGTATCCCAACCTTCAACGAGACCTAAACTCAATGATGGGCAACAGAATTGCTTGTTTGTGCTAAAGCTTCACCACAACATGCCCACCCCAAACCGCTCAGCTTCCCAGCCGCCTCTAATGCCTCTTAGAACCCCTCCGGCCCGAAGTCCGCAGTCTGACTGACGGCGAACTTCTTGACTAGAGGAATTAATTCAGACTAGACCGGAAAGCGATCATTACTATAATCATCGCACGGAGTAGAATTCCCTCGCTCCTTGAAACGAGTCATTGATCTTGTCCCAAAATGCCTCTCTCCTCCTCTTTTCTATTTTCTATTTTTTTTTTTTTTTTTTTTTGTCTTGTTGTTGTTATTGTTTTCTTGTAGGCTTCTTCACCGACACCCTCGCTTTATCTATAATACTTCGAATACCTCATAACAGTTGATCTAATGACATGTTCTGGGTAACCCCCATTGCTCCTGTGTGGTACCTGTGACGATTAGGGTAGAAGAAAATAGGACCGTGCTAGTTTAAGGAGTTACGTCGGCTAAAATATTACCAAAAAGATCTAACTGACTATCTATTTAGGTCAATGAATACGACAGCGTTCTTTAATGCCGAACCCATTCAACGCTCATCCTGTCTTACAACAACCCAGTCATATGTATGAAGCGCTGCAGCAGCACCCACACAAAGACCAAAATAAAACAAGCGATGGTAATAATCCCGAGACGAAGGGCTAAAGCGTCTTTAGCCAGTCTGTCTCGAGCCCAGCCGGAAACGGCTCCACTAAAGGATGTCCATTTGTTACCCAGACGCAACCAGCCTCGTTCAGTCTCCGACTGGACCTCCTCAGCTCTGAATATCTGTTCCATTGACTCTTCTAACAGATGGCCCATCATAAGCTTATTTTCCCTATCATCCTCGACTGTCTTGGCTCTCAGCCTCTCCTCCCGACGACTCAACAGTTCGCGCTCTGCCTCAATGTTTCTGAGCTGACAAGCTAGATTTTCTTCCAGAACATTCTTGTTGAACTCGAGGATTTGGATCTTATCCTGCAGATCATGATGGAGATTCTCAAGCTGTGAAGTGCGTGGGGTATCTCCAAGAGTTTCAGTCAACTGCTTTGCAATCCCAACAAGATCGCAAACCCCGCGTGCAGTCGTCGGAAGTCGATGTACAGCAGTATGACGCACTTTCACTACTTTCGACAGGATCGACTCAATTTTATGGTCTGTTGGACGAAGAGCATCTTCTGGGATCTCGGTCGTCCATCGGAAAGGAGGTCTCGTCCACTTGGTCAGTTCAACAGCTGCAGCACAGTCCCATCCGTTCCTTTCAAGATAATTAGGGAGCCACTTCTTCATAAAGTCGAATATGCACTCCTCTAGGACTTGCTGCACATTGGTCAAGATCCGATGTTGGGCATGATAGGGCAGGTACAATGGGAAAAGTGAGGCTGTAGGTCTCTCTGGGATCAATGTTTCATCTGCGAATTCCACGTTATTAATGAACCGAAAAGGACATCTCACCATCTACACATTGCATACCTGAATCATCGCCCTGCTCAACCTTCACGTCCTGCTCAACCTTCACCTCTTGGGTGAAATCAACATCTGCTGGTGCAGTGGTTGGAACTGCAACAGCGTCCACTCGCTCGTCTTCCCCTTCACTCCCGTGTTCTTCGTACGATTGTGAAACCACCTCGAGCACTTCTTCATTTGAGCGAGCCGCTTCCTGTTCAAGTACTGCATTCAGCGTCTGCCGTACGGGACACGGGTCAAAGAGACCAGGAAAATAAGCTTCAGCCTTGGCCGTCGAACCGAAAAGGCCTTTCTCTAGAAGAAGTTTGGCAATCGACACTACCCTAGTGAGATGGTAACCTGGAATCAGCCTTCTCAAGGAGCTCTCATGCATTTCCAAGCGTGTGCGGATAGTCTTCGTTTTTCGTATGCTTGCATTCGCACCGCTGAAGATGGCCCTGCAGGCAAGAAAGATCTGCCGTTGCTCATATGTTGAAGCTGCTGGCATGACTGGGCTGATGTAATAGGGGCTGATGTGATATGATAGGGCTGCCAGTAATGGGAGGAAAGAAGTATGTTGTAACGATTCTACCGAAGAATAGAACCGAAGAATAGAATGCCTAGAGCTGAAAGAATCCGTAGACTGCAGAGAAGAGGCTTTTCAGGCCTGTCACTGGTACGATAATTAACCAGGGTTGTTGCTTCACTATATATTGGACACCCATCTGCAAAGTATCGTCATTGCTTCTCTCCAGCGCCTCTGTGTGGCTGGGGAAATGGCTGTGCCGGACGAGCCCAAAGGGGACCCTAACAAGGCTGTCTACATTAAAAGAAAAAAGCGTTAGCAGTATTCTAGACATCGCTGGTCACAATCGTTCAATTGATTGGACGTCAAGGTATTATTCCTTTGCCGCCGCAGCAGGCAGATGCAAGTTGGCGCAGGCGCCTAGCAGGGGTGTCCGGCGGGGTATGTGTACAGCCTCGGGCAAGCTTGCCGGGCCAGGTGGCATAACGGCATCAGTACGTTGGCTACCACAGCCAGAAATATTTCCAGCGAGCTTGCGTCCTTAGCAGATCCAACAGATATCGGACAACATGACCGGGGTTCTTTTCGGTTAGTGCTGAGCCGTCCAACAGCTATCATGGTGGCACCTAGATGCTATGCTTCATGTATTCCACCTAAGCGCCTGGTTATTTGCTAGTCACTCATATTGATAGGCTCTCAGCTTCTGAGAGTATTCTCTGGAGTCCCTTGAGACTCTGTCATGCAATACACCACCGGCAGAAAGCGCGCAAGGCTGAATCTATTCCAGCTATCCTAAAATGGAAGTACAACACCACCAACAATTTCGTTGTATAGCTCACAGGGTGCTACTGTAGGCAATAGTATCAGCTGGCGTCTCGCAGCTCCATGCATGGCTCTTGAGCCAAATATGTATGCCATGCTGCCGCTCTTACAGGCTGCCTCGTTCCAGCAGGATAGAACCCCGCAACAATTTTGCGTGCCAACACACCCCAAAATGTCTCGAGTATCGTAGCCTTGCATACAGCGATAGAGTATGACGTGTCCGTTGCGTCTAGGGGCTGGATTCATCCCCGCCATAGCACCTGGATTTTGGCGCTGTTTATTACCGCCTGGGATCCCAGATATAAAGGTGTCCACTCAGACTTTAAGACACCACCACCGTTGCTTGTGGACAAAATTCCCGACACGACCATCACCATGGCTAGAGGTCATGATAAAAAGAAGAAGAAGAAGGGGATATCCAACACAGTCATTGCCCCTGTTGAGGATGACTTGCCTGAGCAACCCACGGACCTAGTTATTCCAGAGCTCGAAGAGTATACCCAGGTAGATGAATGGTAAGGACCATCCCTCTCTCCCTTTCCATTATCGTACCTTCTCTTCATGGTCTATTAGGCCCATACCTTCAGTGCTATTGAGCCGTTGCTAAGATTGAAATATAGTCCTTATACGACTCCCATCATCACATTCATGCTCAACAACAACTACTACAGGATTCCACAACAGTACCTCCGACCATATAAAACTTTGCAATTCGAACCGGAGGTTATGCACCAATGCTGGGGCAGTGAGCGTCATCATCACCAGCTGTACATTGAGCCGCAAAGTGCCCATACCTTCATTCATTACTTGTACACTGGACAGTATGAGACACTCAAGACGCCACTCAACATCCCTCAGTCGGCGGATGACATCCCCACAACGCTCAACACTCGTGATAGAGAAGAGTTCCAGCGTGCAGCCTATGTATATCAGGCTGCCGTTCGGTACGAGATCCCAGGGCTACTAAGCATGGCGCAGCACTTTATGGCCCGATTTGCCGAGAGATTGTCAATAGACGATATTCTACGTGCCATAAGATGTGTGTACAGCAGCCTTCTCGATGAACATTATGGACGCACGTGGCTTGAGGATTTTGTTCGAGACCAGTTGGATGTGGCATTTATAAACACGGATGGAAAGCTGCGTCAAATCATTAGGGACTATGGAGTTGGAAATAGTGGAAGCTTCGATAATTTCGTTGTTGATGAGGTCTTGGCACTCTACGAAAGGGAGCGAGACAGGATGAAGAGCTTGGGCAATTTGAGGGGAGATCATGAGCCTGTACCTGATCCGATAATTGAGTCTGACTGTGAGCCTGAGCCTGCTTGTGAGCCTGAGCCTGCGTATGAGCCTATGCCTGCGTATGAGCCTGAGCCTGAGCCTGAGCCTGAGCCTGAGCCTGAGCCTGAGCCTGAGCCTGAGCCTGAGCCTGAGCCTGAGCCTGAGCCTGAGCCTGAGCCTGAGCCTGAGCCTGAGCCTGAGCCTGAGCTTGAGCCTGAGCTTGAGCCTGAGCTTCCGTGTGACCATGCATGTGATCATGAGCCACTATTAGAACCCATTGAAGAAGAGCCAAGACAACCTTCAACTCCAGAACCGGAGCCAGAGCAAGCAGAGCCTACTCCTGAGCCTGAATTTATAGCTCCTGGAATACCCTTTCACCCTCTCTATTCGGACTGGGACGGACTCGGATACAAAGAGAGGAAGAAACGGGAGAAAAATTTGATAAAAATGGGATATCCTATCCCCAGGAAAGATTTCGAACTCCCTCTTCCGGAATGTGAACCTCCTGCTTCAGAACCCGCATTTGAGGATGATTGGGACAACTGGCCGTCGACCTCTTCCAAGAAGAAGAAGGATAAGAAGAAGAAAAAGAACAATCAGGAATTATCATCTTTAATCATCCCGGGTAACGATTTCGGATCACCTATCCCAACTGATGAGTGTCCTCCTCCTCAAGAATTTGAACCTGAGCCCGTGCCCGAGCCCGAACCCATGCCCAAGTCCAGCTCATCTTCTGGGTCCTGGGAGATGCCAAACTCCAGCTACGATGGATAGGTAGATAGAAGATAATGTAGCTCTTGTCAAGTGAGGATGAATGCAAAAAGTGGAAGGAGAGAGGTAGTAATAAGGGATTTGAAGTCTTGTTCAGCTAGGTGAATGGGCCTGCATAGTTGTCAGCGCTATCTTAATAGCTTCTAGTGTTTGTCGAGGTTGACAGAATAATTAAGGCGTCTATTGTCGCTCTATTATTTATCATGCTCGTAAAACATAGCTGGTGGGGCTTTTATGGGACTGCTTACAATCTTATTTTTCTGGGAATTCCATGTCCTCGCTTTATTGCGTATGCTAGGAAATTGGTATTCATTGCATGTTATTGAATGCAGCATCGATTTATTCTATGTTTTTGTGCCGATTTTGAGGAACTTGACAAGCTTAATCCCAATAAGGTAATCCATATTCATCTAGGCTTTTGTAGATGGCATTGAACTCGTACAGGCTTGCATAGGACGGATAAAATGGAAAGGTGAAAGTAGACCCCAGATCTACGATTAATTTAACTTTATAGTTTTCTTTCTTGACATCCTGGGGCATGATTTGACCGCGCCTTGGAATGACAAAATTGGAAAGGATTTGCTGGAACCCTTCATCTTGTCGGCTTAGTGGCTCCTCAGGAATGAAGTCTTTGACAATCGCCCAGCGGGCGTTATTCCAGCTTGGGCCATGCCTTTCTCTTCCACTTACTCTTCGAAGCTGCTGGAGTTGGGAATCAGTCAGATACATCCACCCATGACACTGCACTGCCCAGTGACCATTTTCGTGCAAATCACATAGACGCGCAAAGGCACGTGCTTCACATGCAAACGGGCAGATGAAGGCCAAGGTTCTTTCTTGGACAGTGTAGGGTGCTTGGTAGTCATAGAACTGTACGTACATTTAGTCATAACAATGATTCTTAGTTTGAGTATGTTCCATTGGATAGGGAACCTACCAACTTCAAGCAGAGATCTCGCTTGTTGTGTTCAAACCGGAAAACAAACCCTTGCTGACCATTGTCGATGAATACAGGCTTAACAAAGTCATCTGCATGCCCAGCAAATCGTTTTAACCTGGGACTTTGTCTCACTACCTCCTTAATGTTGATGATGGAGGAGTCGCGGGTGGTTGTGACGTCCAAAATCTCTTCTGACAGGAATAGGTCAACTAAGAGTTCATACGGTTGTGCTTGTTTATGATTTTCCATCTTGAGAAAGATCTCAGCAGTGGCATTAGAAGGATACTGCGATTAGTTGATAAGAGAAGCATCACATTAGGCCGTCAATCAGGGACGATGCCCGTAAGGAGGAGGTCACATAAAGTGGCTGACACAAAGGACACAGCGCCCAAACAAGTAAAGCGCAAGATATTTCATTGTCAAGTGTGTGGCATTCCTTGCTTTGAATCACGTGATGCATGTGTCCACGAACATCCCCCTACTCGATTTCAAAATCATACTGCTTCACACTCTAAGTCCTGTCATCGAATAGACTAGAGGGAATCATTTGGTTCTGCAATTTAGGGAATGATGTGGGCCGACAATTTTGCGACTAGTCGGCCAAGCTGGTCCAGCTGTCATCTCAGCCCTATCTCCGGTTGTTAACTCCGTCATTGTTTCGCCAAACACAAGTATATTAAAGGGCTCTGTGCCCTTCCACATTACTGAACAGATCGCAGTCACAATAATTTGGCATCGAGTTCTTGGCATATTCGTCTCAGGATGGTCAATGTTGCTATTGCGGGCGCGACAGGTGCTGTCGGGCGTACCCTCCTGGAGGTGATGGCTTCCCAGACCCGCCATCGGCCATTCGCCCTCACACGAAGAGTAAGTCAGCCTGGCTTACTGCGCTGTGTACTACAAATCAGCTGATTCTTCCTAGGATCCCAGTAAAGATGACCAGCTACCTGCCCCGACATTCCAAGTCAACTATGAAGATATCAATTCGCTCAAGTTATTCCTGGAAGATCACAGTATCCACACGATCATCTGCGCCTTTGGCATCAACGCTACCTCTCTCGCAGAGTCGCAACTAAATCTCATCAAAGCTGCTAAAGCGTCTTCAGTAACAAAGAGATTTATTCCTAGCTCTTTCGCAATTCCTTATCCAGAAGAGTGAGGTTCAAACTTTCTGTTCATACCCTAATGACCTCTAACTTGCGCAGAGACGTCTCTATCCTTCCGCCTCTCGAACACTACTTTGCCTCTTTCAGGGCCCTTGAAAATAGTAATCTCGAATGGGCGCCTGTCTATAATGGCACCTTTCTGGAATACATCGCACCGCCAACACTGAAGTCGTACCATCCCCACAGTGTGCTGGTGCTTGATGTGGAGAACAATATGGCAGCCATTCCAGGGGATGGCAACATGCCAGTCACTTTTACGTACACTTTTGATATTGCGCGCTTTATTGTTGCTGCCTTGGACCTCGAAGAGTGGCCGCGGGAGTTTCGCATTGTCGGTGACGAAATGACATTCAATGAGTTGTTGAAGCTTGCCGAAGAGGTAAAGGGGGTGAAATTTGAAGTTGTCCATGATGATATCGATAAGCTCAAGACATCGCAAATCACGGAGCTACCTGGTCATGTGAACTCGTACAACAAGTTTCCCAAAGACAGACTTCAGTGGTTCTTGGCTATCGTTGAGACCTGGATGGTTACGGGCCAGGCGCAGATTGCTAGGGAGGGGAGTTTGAATGAAGTGTTCCCCGAAATTAAGCCTTTAACTGCTAGGCAGATGATGGAACAATATCTGAGGACTGACGTCAAGTGATGATAGCGATGGATTATTGCACCACAATTCCTCCTGGAATACCAAAATCTCATAGGCTTGGTAGGGCTTGGCTGGGGCTACTACTAATGGTCCTGAACATTGGCTGCAGTGTCTCACAATCTTGAACGCAGACTTGATGGGATGAACTTGGTATTTCAGAGAGCCGAATAGAAGCACGAAGATTGTTTCAGATGGATACAGACACCTAGTACACTATGTGTTAAGCAGTATGTTTACAGACTTCCACAAAATCCTAACCACAACGGAGAATTCCATTCTGCGTGTTTCTAGATGCACTTCCGGAGAATCCCGCTGTCTCTGCCTTTTGATCTCTTCTCCATATTATCGGAAGCTCCCTACACAACTTGGAAGCCTTTCAACGAGCAACCACCTTATATAAAGGACTGCCGTTTCCCTCAGCTATCATCCTCTTCAGCATTGTCATCAAACAAGCCATCTATATACAGGTAAAGACCCTGGGAGAACCCCCATGGGCTTTTGGCGCTCATGAAACCAACAGCATGGGGGTCATGTAGAGGTAGAAGTTCTGTGGGACACAATAGTCAATCTCTGCCCCCAATTGCAACAGCTTTGGCAGAAAATATGAAGATGAAAGCCCCAAGACCAAAACCATGTGCTGATATTGCAGCGACCACGCATGACTGGCGTTCCTCCTTCATGATCAAAAAGATATGACCAACAGTGCCTCTTCCACATGCACTATCAGTCATCAGATATAAACAAGTCTATATACTATCGCTTCTACGTCTCCAAAGTCACAGATGCGACGATACATACTCATTAATCACGAATCCATTGATAATTATAGGACAAGTGATATGGTCAATCTAGGGTTTAACAGCGTCTACACTAGCCCATGTGGGTGCTCGTCCTTGGTTTCAGAGACAACGGATGCGACCGTTCTTAATCAGCGACGCTCAGTCTCGCCCACTGTGCCTTCTATGCGTTTGCTGAATATATAAAGAGAGATTCCATTTGTTCAGGTGGGGTTCTCCGAAGGTCTGGTCTGAAAGAATTATATATATTACAAGATATGTGACGTTCCTGAAACAACATGTGGCGTGGCCGTCGAGCAGCATACAAGGAAACACGCTCCAGTACCGCGCCAAGTAAACGAGCACGGATATAGCGCATAATCGTTGGTGTGATGCTGAATGCTCCTACTAATTCGCAAGCATTTCATACTGGTACACCTCCCGGCACCATGAAGACATGACACCGTCGAACACAAGGGGTTCACTCAGAAAGGACCAGAAAATAGAATCTCTAGAGAAACAGATACAAATTACCCCATGGCTGCTTCGAAAAATATCCACACACTGATGCCTGACTGCCCGAACAGAATCTCTGATTCTTGGTAATAGAAAAACAGGCCAGCAAGCCATTGTACTGCTACGGTGATTCCGACAAGCCAGTTAGAGGCAACGCGCAGCTCAAGGATATACCTTGTCCTGGGCGGGTTTTGTATGATTCCGGCCTCATCTGAGGATCCCTGTACTCCCCAGGAGGTTCATCGTGCATCATCTCCCTAGTTGAACCATAGGATTGATTAACATTGCTCTATCATCCATGTCGCAGGACTTCGTGGGTGTCCCCGTCTTCTCGGAATCAGGAGTAGATAACGAGAATGTGGTGATCCCGCAGAACTCTGCACGTTTGACTGAGATGTGGACCTACATAAAGCATATTTGTATCGATGAGTCTGTACCGGCATACACTCCGTGCTCGTGCGCCGGTGACTGCCATGACTACTATTGCTGCCATCTATACTGTTAGCACAACTGCTTCTATCACGATTGAAGAGAATACTACCAAGAAGACCAAGAGAAAATTACCATCCATCAGGTCATGGTGTCTCTTGGTCTATCAATACTACTATCAACCATCACTACTACCACTACCACATCCATCAGTACTGTCACCATATCCTCTCACAGTTACATCTACCCCTCCCCTATTATGGCTACCACCCTTACCCATTCTTTCTGGTCTCTTATATTGCTACCTCTCCCCTATCCAACGATTGCCAATGTTGTTCTCAATCCAAACTCAACCATCACCTGCAAAGGGATAGAACATCACGTGGGGGCTCACAGTGCGGCTGTGCATATCAAGACAGAGACTATTTCGGTCCTTGCTGAACCCTCAGCTATGCGTTTATCATACATGGGGTGTTAGTTTCTGACTGGATAGACAGAGAGAAGATTAGACCTGAAAGGGAAGATCAGGTAGTAGTAGTCTCCTTTGGCTAGGAATGGGGAAAGTGGAATACGCGAGGGTTCGCTGCCATGTTGATATGCCAGACTCGAATCGGCGGGGGTTTGCGCTGGAGTAGTACCAAGAACGTCCATGTGACATGAGTAATATAGGGCTTTCCCTGGAGATTACGAATTTCGAACTGGAAGATAGCTCGTGAGCTAACCATTCCTCCTGCCCGTTACAGATAATAGCATCTGCCTTTTCCTGTGCAAATACGCTTCAGGTGGTTAATGCAAAACAAAGAAAAGCCTCACCTCCTCCAGATAGAAGGATACTCCTTCAGCGGCTCGGTCAAAACGCCTTTCCTGTCAAGGGAGTCATACTCATGAAAGGCCTCTTAGTCCTTCTGACTTGGCGGTTCTTCTATCAATTCTACCTCTCGTGAATCTCGATAAGAAGTATAATTCCGACACAGACAGATCAAGATGCTTGATCAGGCTAGCACACCTCTCAAACTAGACTTTATACAGATCCGCTGCTTCCTAGCATCCCTATCACAAGATATGTTGAGGGTCGGGTGCGCAATCCAAAACAAGCAGCATATGTGGATTTCATTCCCAGCGTGTTGCTCATTCCTTGCACTACTTAGCCCAAACGGTTTCTTCCGTTGAATTGTGGTGTACAATGGGTTATATATAGTTATGATGATGTTCATTTCATCATCTACAACAGAGGAGAGTGTTTGTTCTATGGTCATATCCTAGAAAAGAGAAAACAAGATATCTTGAAGCAAATACTGCGCGAATGACATGCAGAAAGATCTTCATGTGGTTTTCGGTATCTCCAGCATCTTTTATTATCAGTGTTCTACATTTCATTCTCCAGTGCATGGCAATCAGAATTGAAAGTTTGAACTAAACAGCAACTTATCCCCTACTTAATGCTAATTGTGTTGCCGCTTTCTAGCCATGGTCTGGTTGTCTGCTGTAGAGACATTATACTTACTACTGCCTCGCTCAGCTACATAATCTACTCCCAAACTGTATAGACTTATATAATATATCGGGCTATGACACAGCAATTCCATTGACCAAGACCAGAATTTATCATGTAGTATCATCTATAATAGTCCCCCAATACCCAAACAGAGCCCCTAAACCATGAACAACCAATCCACGAATTCTTACCCAAACTCCCCCCATCACCATCCAACAACCAGCAATCAACAACCCTCCCTCTCCCTCTCCTTCCCAACCCTAATTCTCTCAACAAACTCCCCCACAACCCCCACCCCCTCCTCCAACCCCTCCACCACCTGCACCCCAAACCTCTCACAAACCAACCTCACATTCCCACTCTTCCAATACCCCCTGGGACAAACAACCACCACCTTGCCAGGCTCCCGCATACATAACCCCAACTCCAACAAACTGATCGGCGCCATACTCGCAGGATCAAAGTGAAAAAGCACGATATCAGCCCGTTCCCGCTGCTCCATCTCCCACGAGACCTGTTCCTTGAACGGCGGGAAAGATGGGTCTTCGCGCCACGAACTGTCCCAGTCTGGACGGAAGGGGTCGAGGATTGTTAGGTGGATGGTTTGGGGGGTAGTATTGGTGTTGGTGTTGGTGTTGTCTGGGTGTGTTTGTGGCTGTGGCTTTGGGAGGAAGTAGTGGGCTAGGTGGGTGGAGAAGGTATCGCGCCATGTTGGGGGTGGTTGTTGGTGGTGGTCTCGTCGGGAGGAAGAGGAGGAGAAGGAGGAGATGCGGATTGGATTGGATGAGTCTTTGCTAGTGGTTGTGGGTGAAGGGGGAGTGCTGCCGGCGAGGAAGATTGTGATGCTGGTTGGTTTGGGCGGGGTGGTAGAGGGGGCGTGGATGGTTTCGATGGTGAGGTTGATGTTGGGGTTCATGATTTGGGTCTGGGTCTGCGGTTGGGGTTGGGGATCGGGATCGGATATTGTTTCTGGGGTGGGTTGGGTTGAAGGGGAGGTACTATTAGATGTTCGTTGTTTGTGGAGGCGAAAGGAGGGGGTGAATCGAGATGATGATTTGGACATGATGTTGCTAGTAGTTAAGTTGGTATGTGGGTTAGTTGTGAAGAGAAGCGGGGATGAGGGGGAGATAGTACACTATTACTGTTGGTAGCCATATCAGGATGTGATGGTGCCTTTATATATTTTCCAGTGGGGTTAGAGATTGCATGATAATCCTGTTACATTGGAAGTCTCCTGTAGATTTACCAATCAATGATCTTGAAGATAAAAGGAAATGATAGTACTATAATTTGTTTTCCGTTCTTCTCTCGAACCTCCTCCCCCATTGAATGAATATTATCTAGACCCGTGGCAGCACGTGAGAGCTCCGTTAACACTGTAGATAACCGAAATAGTCTCCGAACCCGTGGTCATGCATGAAGATCGGTTCATGCAGATGTCACTCCCACCTCTTAGTATAGTCTGATGTGCATGCATGCATTCATTCAACATATCCGTAGAACTGGTTGATTTACGCTAACTTGTTATTGCTTATGTACAGCCATACACTCGGTATGCCAACACCAATATACACAGAGAATTAATACCACACGCATCAGGTATTGCTGATCGAGGCAGCACCCGACCCTGAGGCTGTCAGCGAGTGGATGCTCCCTGGGGGCACGCTTCCAGCTTCTCCGCCGGCGCTTGCGGGATCAAGGAATCGATGAGAGCCACCCTCAAGGTGGTTGCTCTCTCCGTCGGGAGTGGTTTTGATCTCCTTCTTTCCGTTCGCTTTGTAATACAGTAGCATATCCCCAGACGAGCGCCAGATGTGTGCCCGAATTGTCGCAAGAGTCATGTTTGGCGGGATCAGCTGTTTTGGTTAGCATTTACACTTGTACATGGACACTAAAGCTACATACCATCTTCTGGCAATACAACTCCAGATACTCTTCCGGCTTCATCGCATCCTCTTGCGGCTCATCGGGATTAGGTGGGTCGATCCGTTCTGCAACATATGCAAGGATCTTCTTGGCTCGAAGCATGCGATTGGCGTTGAGCCGATTGTTGTTCGCGTTTGCGCTCGTAGCCGGCCTGTCCTGATTAGTCACAGCTCTTCCACGGGTACACTGTACATACTCTGGCTTGACCACAGGCGGCAGAAGATCGTCGTAAGGTTTCAGCGTAAACGCAATCTTCACTGGCTCTTTCAATGGCATTTGATTCTACCTATATTAGCTGGATACCATATTCAAAGGAGGGGCATTCATACCTTGAGCAGCAAGTCCGCAAGCCATAACGGGATGGACTTCTCCAACTTGTCAATCTCCTGACTAATGCCTGCCACAGTACCCCTGTACAAGTCCGAAGCCACTGCCGTGTCGCCAGATTCCTCTTGGATGAATACAGCCGTGCGAGGAGGTATCTGCAGTTCGGGTGTCTCGTTGTCAGGACTAGGAGCAAAGGCAGACACCAACTCCTGCCCCGGGTTGGCAGACAGCCATTCCTCGTACTCGTGCCGGGTTCGCTCGATGAAGCCACCCAGATTAGTTTCAAAAACCTTCTCTTCCTTGACAGACGACTTGTCCGATTCTTCAATCTTTTCTTCTTGGATCTGGGGTTTGGCTTCCGACGAGGACCGGCCCATTCGCTTGGGGAAATCCATCCGAAATTTCTTCCCAAATATAGATCCTCCCCGCTTTCGTTCCTCTTTGTCAGGCTCGACCGGTGATTGAGGCAGAGCAGTTGGCGTCGGCTCTCCGGGTGTCCCTGGCGCCTTCTCTGTGTCTAGCGGAGTCAGACCCGGGGGCTTGGATGAGGAGGAAAAGTAATCGCTCGACCGGTCCGAGAAAGACGTTCGAGTTAGGTCGGGGTTTTGCTGTGATGACAGAAAGTCCGAAGTCTCGCCGATAGATGTTCCAAAGTAGCTATTGTTGTTGTAGCTATGTGGTGGTAGCACGGGTGACCCTAACGTCCCCGGACTTGTTGCGTAGCCGATACCGAAGCCGGGCGTCGTAGGGCTACCAAGAGTGTCGTATCCGGACCGGAAGGTTGAGAATGAGGCATCTATAGGAGTCTGCAGACCTAACGGCCGCCTTGAACCATCTGCTGACGGTATATCCATTGGCGCAGAGGCACTCGTTGTGGTCAGTTTGGCCATTTCCTCCGCTCTTGCAACTGCCATGGCACGATACTGGGCATCGCGCCGAACGTGCTCATCGACCAGTGGTGCAAAGAGCCAGCGCAATATCCATTTGCCTAGGTTGACTGCTCGTCATCAGCACTCGATCACGCAGCAACTATAGAGTTGTTGTCATACTTCTCTGGTCATCGCGGAACTGCGAACTATCTTCTATGTCTGTTTCGTCGGCGTATATCTCCGCGTCAAAGCAGCGCCCTGGCTCCAGAATCACTGATAACCTTCCGGTGCGGATGTCGATCGTGCACCAGTGAGCAATACTCTCCGTGGTGTTAATCTCAGAGGCCACATCATCCATATGCCGCTTGCCAAAGGATTGAATGGGTTTACACTGTAGCTATCAGCATTTGTTCGGTCCCGACCAAGATCATAGCATACCTTGAGAAGATCCCATAAGACAACCTCACCCGCAGAATCTTGGGTCAAAGTCCGTTTGCGGTCATTTAACATGAAGTGTTTGATCAATCCGTGCTGTCCTTCGATAGTCTCCTCTGGCAAGGACTGAACGGGCAGGGTCAATCCCAGTTCATCCTCCATGTCTGAGCCGGAAGCTTGGCCCTGTGCATGTGATGCGCCGCCTGGGGCCGCGTCGTGAGGAACTCTCGAATTAGGGAACGTAGATGTGTTTGATAGTAAGAGAACCGATTCGTATGGTATCTTCTTGGGCATTCCTTTAGTCGCATCCTTTTCAGCGCTGGACTTTCGTTCCCCTGAAGCTGGGGCTTCTATCTCGGCTGTGGTATCAATATCCCTCCACCGATTGATACTAGACTTCGGTGTTGCTGTCCAGATATAGTCTCCGGCAGCTACAACGTTGATAACGCCCTCGTGCTCCTGCAGCGCTGCAACGCAGACACCTTGCTCGATATCCGCAGAGTGCCTCGTGTCCGTCTTGGCAACCAAGCCGGATCGATCACTCGAATAGAACACCGACAGCTGAGGATGATTCGAATAAAGCGACCAGACACTGTCGTTGTGCATTGTCAAGGTGTGCATGCATCTTCCTGCTGTCAGCGACCAAACCTTGACCGTCTGGTCGGAGGACGCGGTCATAATGGTATCGCCATCTTGATTAATGAGGATATCTCGAATATTGTCGGTATGGCCCACGAACTTCGTGATCAATTTTCCGGATTTCGGATCCCACACTCTGACCACGCTTTCCGGTCCACCACTGGCCAGGACGGACGATACAGCGCCTAGTGCATAGACCGAACCCTTTGCCGTCCGATCCTCCCCGCACGCATCGATGCCAAGGACCTCACCGCCGCCATTCAAATCCCATAGATAGAGCTTGTGATCCAGGCCGCCTGATGCCACCCATGAGGAGTGATTTCCGGGGGTTGCCAAGGCTTTCACGTAGTCGGCATGTTTGCCGATGGGATGCGGCACCTCCGTGATTTCCGAGTGCGGTCGCCATAATCGCACAGTGGTATCGGACGATGCGGAAACGAGCGCCGAGTTGTTCTTAGTCAAGACAATGTCGTTGATCCAATGGCTGTGAGCCTGGACTTGGTTTCTGAAGGTTGTCGAACCGGATTTCGACGCCGATGCGCCGGAGAGGGGGCGGTTGAGGTCCCACGAGCATACAACACCATCGCGACCAGCGGAATACCTTTGCAAGAATGTGGAGTTAGAACTGGCGTGGCTTTGACTCGGGAACGGGCGGAGTTTATCACAGCCGGGTTTGCGGAGGACCAACTGGCGCAAGAGGACGGGGAAGGCTCACAGGATGGAATTGTCCGTATCGACAGTCAGACCATTGACGCCTAGTCTATGCCCACCAGGGGCATCAGGCAGAGGGAGGACTAGAGGGGAGAGAAGAGATTGAATGTCAGTCTCGAGTCCACTTTGGCGCATAAGTGGGAGGATCAGATAAGCGCGGAACGCAGCCGTGGTGTAACCAAGGAGTAGATGGCAGTAAATCCCAGCAGACCGACTTCAGACAATAGACATACCATAAGTGACCCTCTGGTGGCTTGACTTTCGGGCCATGCAGTGGGCGGGGAGAGAAAATGCAGTGGAAGAGGAAATGCGGAGGTGCAAGGGACGATGCGGAGGCAGAAGCGACGATCGCTCAGGCACGCAGAGACAGAGGGGAGGGGAACATTCCCCGACTGGTAGGGAGTGGAAACAGGCCCGAAGGGGAAGAGAGCACAATAAGGAATGAATAAAAACCGACAGAGAGCAGAAAAGGAGGGCGAGCAGGACGGGGAGAAGGAGGAGGAGGAGAAGAGGGAAGTTTGTTGCCTGGAAGGATGGCGGATGGGGGATGGAAATGGGAGATGTTACTGACGATGGGCTCACTTCGTTCCTTCCCTTTCTGGCGGGAGGCACGAGCCCCGGCTTCCCTCGGGGATCTGCTCGTCTTCCACCTTCTTCTCTCCCCCCTCCTGCTTTTGATCTTCACTTTGATCTACTGATGAGCAGCCATTCAAATACGATGTGGATTCTACAGGCTATTCCTATTTACCCTCTTCTGTTCTCACCATGCTGAGAGTCGGATTTGAGTTCCCAGTTACCGGCACTAATCTCCACCATGATATCACAGAACCTGAACTATACAAGAGAGGTCAAATGGCCATCTAGACAACTTAAACCTTCACTTAATGCCCTGAATCAATCAACTACTTGATGCGGCAATAGCCAAGGACAATTCTCTTCCTTTCTGATATCATCTCAATCCACCTTTCATCCACTATACTACTTAAATACCCTGCCCCAACTCCGTTTACTAACAAAAGGCATACTAACTCCACTGAATACCACCTCACAGCTTACATCCAACAGTCTCCAGCACTTTGAACAAAGAAACCACCTCCATCACAATACTACACCATCTAAACCATGACCAGAACCCACCCACCATTCCCCCCTTCCTCCCAACCCACCAAAGAATCCCCCTCTGCCACCCGGACTATCCAATCTCTCGACCTCCAGCCACATCCTGAAGGCGGCTACTACCAGGAGACCTTCCGCCATCCACAAGAAATCCCCATAGCCAACGGCACGGCCACCCGCTCCGCCAGTACCTGCATCCACTACTTGCTGACGCCGGGGTCGCCGCTCGGCGCGTTCCACCGGAACAAGAGTCGAACCGTGCATACACTACATCGTGGACGGGGGCGATATGTGGTGATTCACGCGGATGAGCGGAAAGGGGGAAAGGCGACGGTAGAGCAGTTTGTGGTGGGACACGACGTGGAAAGAGGGGAGAAGGTGGAGTGGGTGGTGGAGGGTGGCAAGTGGAAGGGGAGCTATTTGTTGCCTGAGAAGGAACATGAGGATGACGATGGGGAGGAGAGGGGGTTGTTAATTACTGAGGTAGGTTCTTTTCAATAACACAATATCCTAAATGCAGGTAGTTGACGCTGGGTGTAGACAGTTGAGCCCGGGTTCGCGATGGAGGATCATGACTTCTTGTCATTGCAGGAGATGAAGGAGCTCCTCACTCCAGAACAAGTAGAAGATATGGCGTGGATGTTGAGAGAGAACTCCATAGAGAAAAACCAAAGCTAAATGCTATCATCAATCAAACCATAAACATTCTATAGAACCAATCCCATCCATCTAGTCTATAAGTATACCACCACCATCCCCAACAACCATAACCTAATTAGTATACAGACCACCAACACCCACCACAAAATTATATACAGGACTCACCACCCATCAAACCACCTCCCTCTCCAACCTCTCCCTCTCCCCCTCCCTCTTCCCCTCCAACGTATTCCACGCCCACTGATAACTCCCCAAAAACACCGCCCCACCAATCCCAATCCACGCAACCCTCGGCCCAATCCCCCTCCAAAACGCCCCAAGACCCTCCTTATAAACCTCCCTAACGACATCCCTCACCCTAACCCTCTCACCATCCCCACCGCGTCTCGCAAGCATAACCCTAGTCTTAACAACATCCAACGGGGTGGTCAAACCCGCCGAAATAGCTCCGGCAACACTCCCAAACATAGCACTCGTCGACGCAGGCACAACCCCATCGCCACTACCACCACCGACCTTCTTCGCATACCCCTCCTTCAAACTCTCCCACATAGTAAACTGCAACACAGTGAACGGAATCTCCCTCGCAATCGTAATCCCAGCACCACGATACAACTCGCCGAGGACCTGGCCCACCCCACCATTGGGGGCATTCCGGAGGGCGAGAATATCTTTGAAGGCGAGGAGACTCGAGCCGCCGAAGAGACCGGCTTGGGCGCGCTGTTTCACGACTTCGGTGGGGACGCGGACGGCGCAGGCAGCGATTTCGCCCATTGAGGAGGCGAGGGAGTGCGTGAGGACGATGTGGGAGCGGGAGGGGGTATCTTTGACGCCGGAGGAGGGGGACGGGAGGAGGTATCGTTTCACGCCATCGTAGACGATGAAGAAGGATGCGGCGGACGGGGCGGAGCCGAAGAGCACGGAGGGAAGACCGGCGTAAATGCCGCGGATGGTTTGGCGGAGGGAGAGGCTGGATGCGGCGGCGGATGTTGTGGAAGGGCCTTGTGTGCGCGCTTTTTGGAGGCGGGTTTTGATCGTGTCGAGGGGGTAAAGGGAGCAGTCAACTGTGAGGCCGGCGATGGCTCCGGACTGAGTGAGTGAGTGGTTGGTTAGTTTGGTTGGCTGGAGGATGGCTGTGCGGAGAGGGGAGAAGGAGGAGGACGTACAATTAGGGATCGCGTCCATAAAGAGGAGACCAATGGCTCCGGTTCACCTGGTTGAGCCATGATCAGATAGAGTTGGTGGGTGGAAGGGTGGTGGAAGATGAAGTCCAGGATCTGTTGAGCCGGTCGCGTGGGAAGAAGCCTTTGATGGGCTCCGATTATCGCCCCGGTCTAAACTCCGCAATCTCCGCATCTCCTGCCTTACGTCAACTGCTTCCGAGGTGTTACAGCTGCTACGAAACTACAAGGAGCGAAATGAAACGTCAAATTGAGCACGTATACAGTCACTCGTTTATTTATAGTATCTACTAAAGTAGTTGTTCTCCATGGTTACAGTGAAAGGACAATTTGGGTGAAAAAACAAGGCTCCGAGGCATGACAGATGCGCAAACGATAAAACCCTCCCGAGGCAGATGCGGAAGCCAAAAGCACCAAAGCGAACGAAATCGCAGCAAGGAACATGCGAAACAGCATTTCACAGGGAGAAAATCTAGCAGCCGACCCTCTATAGGGGAGAGTGATTTGCCTGAGCAGCCCCGCTCCACAACACAGTGACCTCAACGCCTAGATCGAATGAGAAAACACCAGAAGCATAGGAAACCCACATCCTCTTTCCAACAGCACAAGCGCGGTGAGAAAATAAACAAAACAGTGGACAAGGGAGGTGATTACTGTGGATTCCAGGTGTATATTTGGCTGAGTTGGAATCCCACCGTCGAGAAAGTAACAAGCCAGATCATGATGACAGCCCGCCCAGAAACGGACCAACATCATGGCCGTAGGGAATCAGGTAGAGAGAAAAGTGCCAAACGAGAATGGGAAGAAAGATGTAGGATGAATCGGTTCAGGGGAATTATAAGACATGATAAGACATAGAAACGGGGACGGAGATCCAACACTAGCGCATACACCTAGTGGAGGAAGTAGATCACTTGGCCTTGCTGGGAACGGGAACACTGGCCGATGGTGGTTCCAGGACATGGGTATGGCCAGGGGCCCGGATGACCTCACCAGAAAGCTCCTGCTGGCATGCCTTGATGTTGCGAACCCATTCGTCGGTTAGGACGTCATCGAGGGTTGCGCGTTCATTGACGCCCACCTTCAACATGCGCCCGACGATATACCGGCTCTCGCGTGGCAGAAGTCGCAAAAGTCTCCAGGGACCCTTGATTACTTCCTGGCGTTGGCCGGAAGGCTGGGATGAAGCGGGAAGAGGGGGGGCTTCTTTGCTTGTGGTGCGGGTGGGCTTGTGAGTAGGGCCGTTCTTGTCCTCTACCGCGGTCTTGTTGGTAGGTGTACGTTCCTGTGGACTCTCCGGAGGACGGTTCTCTTCTCCAGCGGTAGGCCCGGTCTGAGCAGTACTCTTCGGGGGCTCCTGACGTCCATTAGCCTGCACGGGTTGATCGATGGGCCCCTTCTTGGGGTCAACAACCTGCGGGGGCTTTTGTTCGTGAGCCGCCGATTGGAGGTCAGGAGACGATTTAACGACTCGGTGACGTTTGGGGTCTGTATCAGGAACTGGTGTGCCGGGAGTGGGCGGGGAGACGAAGAGTCGGTAAGAGTTGTCGCTGACACGGGGCTGCTTCCAGGGAAATCGGCGCAAGGTCATGCAGCAGAAGATGATGGCCAGAGACCAGACGTCCGTGGGGCGTGGATCGTATTTCTTTTCATCGTACACCTCCGGAGCCAAATAGGGATCAGAGCCGACGATGCCTGCCACGCGTTAGAAGGTGAAAGCCCAACTCACCCATATCGATCAGCGAGGCGCGACTTACCAGAAGCAGGAACAATATCATTCTCAAAGGGGTACCGGAAAACCACCGCACTCCCAAAGTCGATAAGCTTCATGATGCCATGTTCATTGACGACCACATTGTCCAATTTCAGATCCCGATGGGCCAAACCCATTCCGTGCAAGTAGGCCACCCCGCTGAGTATCTGCTTAAAAGCGCAGGCAATCTCATCTTTCACCATCTTTCCTGTCATGACAATGGCGAACAAATCGAACGGAGCATACTCCATCACCTCGTACCAATGGCTGCCTTCTTGGATGATGTCCAGTGTCTCGATGATATTGCCGTGATGAAGGGTCGAGCCGATGCAAAATTCCGCAGTCACCTTCTTCGAATACTCCTTCATGCTCTCCCAAGAATGGCGATCACGAAACTGCTTGACAGCGAAGGTCACGCCGTCGCTGTTACGCTTGAGCAACCTAACAGATCCACCTGCTCCTGAACCCAAAACCTTGCCTAGCTTCCCGTACTTTGAGTTGAGCCCATGGTCGTCAGCGAACGGAACACTATCCGATGTGTGGAAAGGGCCATTCTTGCCCGAAGACCGGCTCGACTTTTTGAAGGGTATAGATGAGGGAGAATCAGCACGCTTATGCTTGTGGTGGTTCCGTTTGAAAAAGCGCTTTAGCTCGGACATGTGGCCGTGGGGCTTGCTTTCCGGTTCCTGCTGCTTGACCTCTTTTTTGCTGCCAAAAAAGCCGCTGCGCTTTTCGGTGGACCTAAGATCACTTGCACTGGCGGACCGAGGAGACATAGGGCGGGTGAACGACGAGGAGGTGTTGGTGCGACGTTTCGCATCTCTGCCATTGAAGATAAAGCGTTGGTCCAGTTGCGCGAGGTTCTTTGGTGGTGGGGGCCGTTTGCTGCGAGCATATGGATCATTGGGCTCTCCGACGGGTGTAATCGCACCGGGAGGGGTATAGCTTTCAACCCTCGGAGTCATCGGAGGGCTTTCATCCTGTGCACCTCCATCAGCCGCAGGGCCAACGAAGAACTGCGCCCTATGTTTCGGGGAATTTAGCGGATGGGACGATGTTTGCGCGACGTTATTCTGTTTCGACAGTTGGTCGGTTGAAGAAGGTCGTGAAGAGGGGGCACTCTGGGAGGCTTTGTTCTTTAGAGTCGCGCTTGTCGGTGGAGAAGTAGTGGGGGTCATGGCAGCGGACTGCCCCGGGGCTCCTTTGTCCGTAGTGTTTGATGTTGACGAGGTATCAGTAGACTTGGCTTCCCGTGAGTGAGTAGCAGCTGGTGTAAGCGGGGGTGACTGCATAGCGGACACCGTCGGGGAGTCTCGGGGAGAGGGCAGTCCTGATCCATTGGCTTCGCGACCACTGCGGTCGCTTGACTCTCGCGACGCAACCTGTAAGGGGGATGCAGCAGTCAGTTTCTGTTCAGATCTGGAAGATCTGGAAGATCATGCAGGGCCATGCGAGGAGCCGACTGTCCCGGAGGAGGCGGCATGATCTTCCACGCCACCGTCGATGCTGGATAGCGTACAGGGCCATTGTGAGTAAACAGATGGGGTACATACCCTAGAAGATGGAAGAGAAATCGGGTCATATGAGAACTGTCGCAACCGCGTCTCCTGCAACTGTGATTTTTGTAGGCTGGCAGCCAGGGACCGCAGTTCCTCCTCTTGCTTCTGATCCTTCATCGTGTCATCGGCCGGCGGTACTTGGGGAGGGACCGAGGAATCCGAAGGTTCGATTTCCTCCGTTATGGTCGAGAACCGGACCTGGCTGGGTTGCGACTTGAACTTATAGTCATTGTCGGCAAACTCGGTCGCCTGTCCAGGGGTCATCTGGTCAGGAGATTGGGTAGTTTCAGCAGCTAAAAGTTGAGAAGTTGCCGAGTCAGTGGGAAGAGTCTGAATTGGTTGTTGTGGAAGGGTGGTGCTTACCGGAGTTCATGTTGGCGTTGGCTTGGGCAAAATCCGTCGCTTCAGACGTCATACTTGGTCAAGACCACAGGGTGGGACACATGCCCCTCCACGGAAGATACCGGGAAAATGAACTCAACAGTAATGGGGAAACAACGGCTGCAGAGTAATAAGGAGAGCGGTAATACTCTATATAATAGCGACGTCGCTTGGGGGGAGGAGATGATTCAGGACAGTTCGTGGGACAAGAGTGGGAGAGCACGGAGGTTTCAGTATGCGAGACGGAACAAATCTTTCGTCGAGAAACGGGGTGCGGGAGGGAGATAAGTAGTGGTTCGAATTCACGTCGACGCAGGGCAGGAACTTGGACGGGCGGGAGGATGCTGAGGGGCGGGGAGAGATTCGCCCCATCCAAGAACGGCTGCGTTGGTGAGTCAAGAGGAGGGGAGAGAGACCGACAGTCGTGAAGAAACGAGGAGGAGCGACGACGAGGATGGAGAGGGAGAGTGAGTTGAGGGAGATAATAGTGAGGGACGGAGGAGGAGGAGCAAGAGCAGGAGCTAGACTAGTCAGGCAGTTCGTTCTAGTCTAGTTACTGACTAGTACACAAGTAGAGGGGAGAAGGCAGACCGGAGAGGTTCCACCGGGGCAGGGAAGACTTGGAACTCGAACTGAACAAGAAAGTCAAAAAGCAAAAAAGCAAAGCAGGTGCGGCGGCGGTCTTGGGGGGGGATTTTGGGAGCCACCAGCCAAATCGACGGCGGCGGCAATAGCGGCGGGATGGACGGGGAGAAAAATACAATTCTCTTTTAGGGCGGTGGATTAATTATAATTTCTTTCTTAATTACGGTCACCACCACCACATTTACTGAACTTTCCACCAACTCAAATACTTGCACCTCATTGAATGTTTGCATTTGAAACGAGGTTAGGTGAGTTGTATAAACCCATCTACACGTTACCACTCGATCCCTTTAGCCCCCGTTCTAGAAGCCTCCTCCACACGCCCATTTTCTCCCAGGAAGGGATGGATGCCCAGGTCTAGATTACCCAGCTGGTCACCCGGCCTAAAATAGAAAACAGAAGGGCTGGACAGAAAAGAAGAAGCATCATCATCATCATCATCATTATAATTGCAAATCCCAACCCAAAGGAACAAATGTATCCCACACAAAGTTACATGCAGTCTGTACCGTGTTAACTTGGCGGTCGGTCGGAGCGAAGCGTTCCCCCCGTGCTCCAAAGATTGGATCTTGACTACTCTCTCAATCGGAAATCCGCGGAGAGGAGGGGAACAAAAGATGTGGAAAAAGGCAGCTGGTGACTGTAATGGTGCGGGAATTACCCACCTCTTACATTGAAGTTGAAGCAAGCATCTGTCTAACCGAGGATGTGGGATGGGTGTGGATCATGAATCATAACGGAGTAGCGTACATAAAGTAGGAGTCATTACCCCCCAGACGTGGTCTACCATCTACAGATGGAGAACAAACAAGTAGACCCGGAGAACGGCTGCCATGACATCAAAGGCACGGCCGTTACGGGTAAGGCAGGCAGGCAGGCATGTAAATACCGGTAACGTCTGCGCCAGTTGTCCGAACGGCCGCCCGTCATAAGCCGATGATTAGTGATTCAGTAATTGGTTAGTTATGTTATATGGCTTGCATACGGGCTTTTGCCATCATCCATTCATCCATTCATTCATTCCACTATCTATCTATCCATCTATCCTATCTGCTCCGGAGGTCAGTTGGCACCGAGAAGAGGAGGAACAGCAGCTGCCGGTGCCGTCTAGCCGGACAGTTTGTCATCCGCGAACAGTATTGGACGACGACCCTCCAGATTCCCCGATCCGCACAGCCCACAGGCATGGATGGGCTGGTCGCTTACCCCGCTAGATTCTTCTGGATCTCATCTGGCGTGGGTTTAATGCATGCAGATTGGAGTGAGGGCGAACCCACGGTCCACTCAGCTGATGAATCGGCCACCCTTTGATCATCTGTCCGTCCGTCAGCTGCCTGCCCTTGTCCATGGACAACTCTCTCACACACCTCCTGTCAATCATCGGAGCCTTCGGGATCGGAGACGCGTGAAATTATCCGCTCAATGTTCTCGCCGATTTAACCCAATTCCTACTGGACTATAACCTTACTATTTGATAACTAGCACCTCATCTGTCTGTTCAGGTAGGTAACCCGCGCCCTGGTTCGGATAGCGTCACCATGCTGTTCTGGGTTTAGTGCTTCTGTGGGGCGTCTCATTCCGCTTTAAGTATCCAGTGGACGGTAAACCCAGCCCGATCTGGAAAGTTTCCGTTTCGATGGAGATAATAATGAATAATGACGGCTGGGTCTCTCTACTACTTATAGTAGTGTAGCGCGGCTGGGGTATAATGAGTCAACAATGGAGAAACAGCCGCCTCACAAGCACTATCATACATCCAAGTAAAAGGCTGGCTATCCACTGCAAGTATAATCAGGCTGCTGAAGGCTCCCAACTAATTTATTTTCTGATGAACGCTAGTTTCAGCCAGGAGTGTATATCGCCATTTCCCAATCTGGCCAGCTACTTACTTTTTCAAGATAGTCGCCACCTGCCCCTTGTCAAGGATGTTCTGGTACACTTCCAGAAGCACGTATAGAATGTGGGGTAGCCCCATCACATCACATCTGCAGATTATGGAATCATCATCTCAGGCCATTACCTACTTGCTTCCTGGCTTGCTGCTATTGTCAACCTCTGCCGTCCGTCGACTAAATTACTGAGTTGTGAGGCCAAGAAGAGCACTGCTGAGGATTCGAGCGGAGAAACAGCTTTCAGGCCTGCCAAGCAAAATAGTGGAAGAAAGGGGCTTGTCATTACAGAACCGTACGACGATTCCTCCCCCGACCTCTCACCTGGCCGCGTATCCAAGACGTTAGGAGGAAACTTGCGTGTCCTCCGCCTCTTGGCTTTCTCGGCGGTATTTCTGGGCACGCTGTTGTGTCTTGCTCAGCTTTTTTTCCTTCCCTCCGATCTCCAACTTGGCAAGGGGCCAGCGCCAATATTGACTGCTTAGCAACAGACTGTCTAGTATCCCTTTTCTAACACTTTCTAAACCGCTGGTGAATATTGGGGGTGTATAAAGCCCCCTGGTCAAGTGTATGGGCATGGATTGGTTTAGGTGAAGAAGAAAGGCGTGTATATCGCTATTGCTGACTCGCGGGCTTCCACCCGACTTCTTACTACTTCGTATAGGTATCGTGACAACCAGCCCGCACGCAGGCCCTGGTCAGGAATGCATCGTCAGCAACCTACGCCCACCGTTATACCCAAGAGCCGAGCCCTTCATGGTCAGACAGTCAAATCCACTTCATGTGATCGCTTGAGGCACCAGCCAACGCTTTCTATACAACATGCAATGCCTATGATACAGATGGTAACAAACCCAGTTCCACATAACGCCAATTTCGTAAGCCCAAGACAAGAAGAGGAGTAACCTTACGGGAGTAAGGGCACAAGATAGTGTACAACGACATCACCAATCGCCCGCTCCGCAATAACCTCATGGTACAACCTGAATGCCAACGGACTTGGCCTGGGCGATGACACTCTTGCACAATCCCTGTAGGCTCAATCCAGACAGTCGCGTCTCGGAGTGCTTGATCTTGGCGATTTCGTAGACATGCTTGAGGGAGATCTTGCCGATGAATTCATGGCCCGGGTTCTGGGCGCCACGGATGCGATTCTTGCGTGGTTCCACATTGGCCGCTTGCAACAGCAAATAGGTGGTGGTGGGAGTACGGAGGTCGAAGGTAAAGGAACGGTCGGGGCGGACAGTGACACGCGCAGGAATGGGGACACCGGTGTTGATGTGTGCAGTTCTGGCGTTGAATTCCTACAGTATACCATATCAGCCCTGCGCGTCCTTCTAGTGCAAATAGCTCACATTGGACGTCTTGCAGAAGACAAATCCAATTGAACCGTCCATGGAGTGTGCTCTCAGCTTACCTTACAAAAATCCATACTCTTCACACCCTTACTACCCAGGGCCGGACCGACGGGAGGACTGGGACTGGCCTGACCGGCGCCCACGATGAGCTTCACGATCTGATCCTTGGCCAATGCCTTCTTCGCCATGATGATGAGGGTCGAGAATACGTTTGATAAAGATTAAAGTGAAGGCGAATTGGAGCTGAAGTGAGGGAGCGTATGGGGGTGTCCGGACAGCAACTGACAACAATCAATCAATGCGGCAGTCGGCGAGCGTCTTTTGCGGCCAAGTTTTCTTGGGGTTCTGGATTCGGGATGGCGCCGCGGGGTCGGCGTTACTTTCCGTTTGGGACACAAGCGAAGCCCAAACAGGAAATCCGACTGCTATTCGAGTGCTGGACGTCATCCGGATTCCTCGCTCAGTTGGCGGTCAGCGCTTCACCTGCCACCAACTCACTCATCTGCTGCACGGAAGTTCATTTGGATTAATGCCCCATTGATCCTTTGCTGTTGGCAGAAAACCAACTGTGATTGTTTGTGACTTTGGGCTCTTCTTCCCGTCTTGTCCCGCTCGCCAGCTGCTCGACCCAGCATTTGTCCAGACCACCGGAAGCTACTATAGAACGATCGACCGAACCCCCCTTGTGGCCCCGCGCGCTATCGATTTGATTTCCATCTTTCCTCACATCTCCCATTCTCTTGTTTTCACAACCTCCCTCTGTTCGTTGTAATTCCTCACGACACCTCACATATCGCCCATAATGAACTGGCTCAAGTCAACGTATGCTTGCTCTTCTTTTCACTCTGCTGAATCAGCTGATATACATGTTTTTTGTTTGCTAACTGAAATCCCCCGCCTCTAGTCTCGCTTCCGTTGCCGGTACGCAGGAGCCCATCTATGGGCCTGAAGCTATTCAATCTGTCGCCCGCCAGGCCCAAGAGACTCCTTATACCGAGCTCAGCAAGAATGACCTGCGCTGGCGCGCTTACCAGTACACCAATGTCGAAAACAAGGTCTTTTACATCATGGCCGATGATGGTACCTTGGCGATGGTTCAGCTGATCTACAGCAACATCGTGTGAGTTGTACCTTTTCTTACCAATGATTCAACATCGCCTCACTCTCGTGTCATCTTCTAATGCTGCTCGTGCTCCCACAGAGGTCTCCACACCACCGCTCAGTTCACATCGAAGATCTTCAACCTCAAAGGCGATGGACCCCACAACTGGCACTCGGATCCCCTGTCCAACTTCATGTTCGATGAAAGCATGCTCTCCTTTGGTGCCGACAACCTCGCTGTCCAACTCAACGAGGATGGCGATACTTATACCATCAAGTCCGCTGTGAACGAAGACAGTCTGGTGAACCTGACATTCAAGCGCTCTTCCCCTGGTTTCATGATCGGCAAGGACGGCACGTCCTACTTTGGCACGGACCCCGAGAACCCATGGGGTTCGATGAGCCATGCCTTCTGGCCCCGATGTGCCGTTGAGGGTACCATCACGACCAAGGAGAAGACGTACGACCTTACGGGCCGGGGAATGTTCATCCATGCCCTTCAGGGCATGAAGCCTCACCACGCGGGTAAGCTTCTCGCCATGACACCTCGAAGAGCGAAGTTTCTGACATTTGTATAGCTGCCCGGTGGAACTTTGTCAACTTCCAGACCCCTACCTACTCCGCCATGATGATGGAATACACCACCCCTCCGTCGTACGGATCGACAACGGTCAACGTCGGCGGTATCGTCAAGGATGGAGAGATCATCTATGCTGGTATTAACAACAGTGCCACTCACACCGACTCATCGCAAGATGCTGAAAGTGACTGGCCCGAGCCCAAGTCCATCAAGTGGGTCTGGGATGGCAAGTCTAAGGAAGGACAAGAAGTCCATGCGGAGCTTGACGGGGCTCTTGGCAACCGACTGGACCGGATCGACGTGATGGCGGAAGTGCCCGGCTTCATCAAGACCATTGCTGGCAGTGTCGCCGGCACGCGACCATACATCTTCCAGGTATGTCCTTTGAATCGTATGTCACTGGTGCAGCATACTAACTTCAACCCTAGTACTGCCCCCAGGAGAAGCTCTCTCTGAAGCTCAAGGTCGGCGACTCCGAAGTCACCGAGGAGGGAACCATGTTCTCCGAGGCCACGTTCATCTCATAGACCGATCCAGGTGCATATGGCATGGTTATGGACCCCATCGAAGGCGTTCTGAGTGTTGTTTGATATTTTCCCGTTGACGTTACCTATACGCTATGCTACGCAAATATCCATCCCTAATAGTTCATAAACCTCCCAGAGGGTATATCTAATGTTACTCAATCATGTCTTCCTCAACCTCATGCTTCACTGCACAGACCCGCTTGTTGCCATGACATTCCCCTTGGCCCCGTTTGCTTCATGCACCATGCACCGAGCACTAACACTCATGGCAACTGCACGGTGCATTCACTCAGTTCATGATGCAGTATATCAAGCCTCTCCCGATCTCATCATCCTGTTACTCTACAACTCGTCTCCAGATCACGTCTACCAGTCCCCCAGATCACCTCTGCATATTGTCTGTAGATACAGATCTAGTTACCATGGACCCGAGACTAGTAACGGACAGAAGAGGGAAAAGATTCCTCCCTAAGAAGCGATTTCGGTATCGTATCCCCTCACGAATCTCTCTGTGGAGTTACGCTGTCCTACGTCAGTAAAATATACTAACAATGGATCCCACTGCAGCAAGATTTTGCGGAACAACATAGACGGAATCAGTAAGTCAAAACAATCAACAAACAATACCACAAGTTTCCCACTAACAAAGGCTAGCCCGCCCCTCGCTCCGGTACGCAAACTCAATCAAACAGGCGTCTCCTAGGATAGCAACACGTGTACCATGAATAACACCACTAACTCATCGCTGATTTAGTCGTCTTGCCCGCCGCGGTGGCGTCATTCGCATTAGCGCTGATGTCTATCCTGAAGTCCGGAAGACTGTCAAGAACCGGCTGACTGAGGTACGTGGATTTGATATGTATATATCGGGAACTATCAGCTGATTGTTCAAGATAATCCGGCAAATTCTTCTTGTGATGGAGTCCTCGACAACTCCTGGCCACGAACGCAAGGTATGTTTTCGATAAATATTTCAGTTTGTTAGATGGCTTTGACAACATGGACTGACATCACTTCTTCTAGGTTGTCCGTACCACAGATGTGAGCACCCAGCATACTAGCTAGTTCATATGCGTATACTGACATAAGATGGCGAAGGTCGTTTTTGCATTGAACAGAGTAAGTAAATCCGGTTACTTGGATCTGCCTCCACTTCCAGTCTCGTCAGACGGACATATACTAACATATTCCCACTGAAATAGATGGGTCATACTCTCTACGGATTTGGTTAGAACCGCTCTTCATGTACAGCTACCAACGCGGAATTCTCATTTCGCGAGAGCATGTGCCCAACGCTTGTCAACGATCCTTTACCAGAAAGACTTCTTCCTTTATCAGGTGCTTGCTGTTTTAGCAGGCTTGAATGAGGATGGTGAGGGTGCCTTGTACAGTTACATTCCGGTTGGTTTGCACGAGAGAGCAATGCAGGATCTGCAGCAAGCTTGATCATGTCATTCATGGATAACCAGGTCAACTTTCAACCTTGAATCCCAATATGTCTCGTTATTCTGGTGCTGTCTTCTGGTGATGTCGTCGATGACTCCTTTCGATTGGCATATTATCTAGTCCAGCACGTGATTGTTGAACTTCCCGGTGTTTTTTGTCCTTTTGTTGCTATTTCTGATCTTGTTGTTCGTCGGATGGAAGAATTGACCTGGTTTACATTGGGGTATGTTAATGAGACTGGATTAAGACCTGCCATGGAAGACGTATAGTAGCAGCAGCAGTAGTATTAGTAGTATGTGTCTTATGTAAGGTATGTTATAAGATGTGATGAGGATAGGTAGTTATCGTAGTCTACTTCCTCAGAAGTAGGACGGAAGCAGGCAAGTATCAATGGCTGTCCATCGAAGATGGTAGGTAGTAGTGTAATGAACACCGACTGGATGGTGAAAGCATCGATTCGTCCATGTGTACCCTCTCTTTCCTTCTTGCGGAGCCCATATATAAAGTACTATCGATCTAAAGTTAGAAGTAACCGGGATCCACCAGATCACCACCATCCACTTGGCACCAACGATCAACTGACCCCGAAGACAACCCTCTTCCATCAAGCTACCTGCATACATCATATAAACTACCATTCATCCAAAACATAAATCCTACCACAGCAAGTTAAAATAAACTCTCAAGCCACCTAATGGCCAACCGAAAACGATGCCATTAACTACGATCTGATAAGCTTAATATTCTGCATAGATGAACTAGCAGTAGTCCTCCATTCTTCATTCAGTGATACTGATATATCTATTCCCCAACTAACCTGCTGGGAATAAGTTTTGTGAATAGGTAGGATTCTCTTCAATCTTTGAACTTCATAGTATTACCTTCTCTTCACCGTGCTTGAAGTGCATTGTAGTCTGTAGCAGCAGTATAAATATCGTCTTCCAACCCGCTTTGCTTCTCCTTCTTCTCCATCTCTATATCCAGATTTGAAGCTTATTATATATCTGAAGAGCCTACTAGTAATACTACGATCAAAACGAATCAATCTACTAAATATATATATCTTTGTGGTCACACTATACTACAAACAGGAGTCATACATTGGCAGGGATGCTAGAGATATCCCGGATGATGAGCTTGGTGCTCGCTATCCTCAGAGAATGTCTCATTGCACCGGTCTCGAATGGATATGATACCCATATATAAACCCCAGATATCCTCCCCCACCCCCCAAGAAAGATCGATCACAGGGAATTCGACAATGTGCCAGCATCGAGTATGGAAAGTTCATTACAGCTCGGGTACTCTTCTGATCCAGGCAATCTGTCACCCTGGCCTCCTCTACGCAACTCTCGAGGAGCGCCAGTCTTACGAGAATGTGCATTTCCTGCCTGGTGATACTGGATATATCAGCTGGATTTCCGCTTCGGATAGCTTCGTGAGTGCCATCAAGGCCGTTGCCGGAATGCAGTAATTATCCCGACATTTGACTGAATAATACGCAGATCACAGGACCTATATGCAGAAGCCTATCTATATTAGCTAAAGTATCGATGTAGGACTCTGCCAACTATAAGCACCAAATCAATATACCTGCTACACTAAACCCCTTCCTGGCTCAGGGTAAATGGCTACATCTACGGAGTTCCTGGAAGAGATAAAAGTCTTTACACTCGATGCAGGCCAGCATTCTTTTGGATGATTAGATATCATAATGGAATCATAGTAGGTTCACCAAGAAGAGTAACAAAGGACTGATGCAGCTATTCAAGCTCGCTTCAGAGAACGATTGGCGCGAGTGGCTGCAATCAGACTTTGTAAGCCCTACTGGATTGAGGTCTGGCAATACTTGGCCCAAAACCCTACTTATAATAACCAAAAGGACATATCTAAAATATATCATATGTTCTAGTTATGCTCAGAACACATATCGGGCAGAAAACATTGCTACTACCATACAATATATTCATCGATCTGAGGAATACAAAGAATCCATGCAGGATATACAGACATCGTCCTGGAGGAAAATCACTCTACAAGAGGTGGCCGAGATGGTAGCATGGGTAAAGCATTCCCCATGTGCGGGGGTCGCCAGTAGCTGAATATATCAGATAGGCCAACTGGGAGAAAGAGAGAATTATAAACATATATGCATCTCGGTCTCTGAATACGACCCTGGGTGGTTGAGGTACATGCAGGAGGTCCAGGTTGTACCATTATATTTCGCATGCTGAATTTGCCTACATGGGGCGAAACGGTATATGGAATATTATATCTGCAGGAGGATTGAAGAGCTTCGCTTGGAAATTTATCGCGATTTTATTGATTTAGCTTCTCGAAGATGCATGTTTGATCCAATCTTACGGAAATCTTGGTAGCATCGGCCTTCTACTACTTATGCATCTATATAGCAACCAAAAGCCTTACACTCACTCATTCAGACTTTGCCGCAACACATCAGACCTATTCATTCCCAAAGGACCATACAAATTACTAAAATTGCACCATAGATCTCACCCAATTCTGGCATGACCAGGATTCATGCTCCGTGCTGGAGCAAACAGTTCTATTTCTATGCAAATGAGGAAGAAAATGCAGCAGGCACACCGCGCCTTCCTTATTCCTTCTACACAGAATGACATTATCATCTGTTTTCTTTATATTTTATATAGTCTTAGCAACACACAAAAGATACAACATAATGAAAAGACCTCTTCTTTTGAATTCTATCTATCTTTGATCCCTTGTTAGATGTTAGATACGCCTGCACGGTCCGTGCAGGGAGCAAGATGGTAGCATGTCACAGACATTTGTATACAGACCAGTGGTTGTCGGTGCTACAGCGCAGATTGAATATTCTGTTTCCACCTTCCGTACCCATATTAATACCTGGACTAACCTAGTCATATCTGATATGACGGATACACGCACACCCGCTGTTAATCTGATAACTAATAACCCGCCTGCAAATACTCTACCGCCTGACATGGCAACCAGAACTGTTCGCATGGTGAACATAGCTATATATGATTTTCATACGGCACTGGCACTGGCACCAGCATCTCCGGTTGCTCCGTTAGCACTGCCTCTGCCACCACCGGCACTACCTGCTGCAGCACCACCTGCTCCTCCTGTATCTGGGACAGCTGCGGCACTGCTATAACTTGATAATGCCTGGTCGGAAGTCTTGGTCTATATAATTAAGCACTATAGTTATCTAGAATAGAATCTCTGTAATATTACAGTCCGTATGTCACGTGTGTCTTGTGATTATAAGATTTTAGTAAGAAAGATATACTGGCTATAATTATTCATAATCTTGGGAGAGGTCTGTGTACATACATTGGCTCAGTATGTAGATAACCCGGATGGTGTCGCTGCGGTTTAGCTCTCCATGTATACTGTGATTGCTCCACGCAATGCCAACGCTAACCAGAATGCCAATATCCAACAGAATGCCAACGTCCAACAGAATGCCAACGCCCAGCCGGCCGCCAATACGGCTGGCCAGCCACCAGCGCCAGGCCAGTAACGGCATATTCTGCAGCGGGCAGGACGCCCCTTCCGGTTACGGATGAACGATCATTATTTGTATAATGATATCTCTTACGTGAATACACTTAGTTAGTTACAATGAAGATGATTTGCCTTGCCTACGTTTGCCTCTTTCACATCCTATTAGACATAGATCCGACATCATTGATCCGTTCGCTCCAGTACGGAGCACCGGTTCCTCCACTTGTACTGCTTCTACTGCCTCCGGTACCTCCAGCTCCACCGGCATCTCCGGTACCTGGGACGGCTGCAGCACTGTTAGTACTTAATAGTAACTAGTCAGATACCCTGGTCTGTATGATTAAGTACTTTAATTATCTCTAATAAAATCTCCGTGATATCACAGTGCGCATGGTATACTTGTTATATAAATATAAGATTTTAATAAAAAAGATACACCATCCATGATTGTTCATATATCTGGAGAAAGTCTGTATGTATACTGTGGCACAGTATATAGATAATCTAGATAGCATGACTGCTGTTCAGCGGGCTATACATATCATAATTAATCTACTTAATTCTTAAGCCTAAAACATCCAGACCGCCAACATAACTAACCAGCCAGGCCAGCATCTCCTGTAAGTGTAGTGGCATCAGGATATCATCTTACTAAAAAAGAGTATTTACAGCGGGTATACCACGCCTTCCTTATTTCTTCTATGCAGAATAATATTATCATCTATTTTCTTTATATTTTATATAGTCTTAGTAACACACAAGAGATACAACATAATGAAAAGATCTTTTCTTTTGATTTCTATCTATCTTTGATCTCTTGTTAGATGTTAGATGCGCCCGCACGGTCCGTGCAGGGAGCAGAAAACGGAGGTAAAGAAGAAGGTAGTTCAATTTTTTGTTGATTGTATCATGCTAAGAGATGCTTCCTAATTACATTATACTCTGAATAAAAATCGGTATCAGGAGATACACGCTACAACCAATATTGGCTCAACTGATTCTACTCGTTTCAAACGCATCGTGGAGGAATTGCCAGAGATCGTGGCAAACTTCAGACGCGGACCTTCCTGTCGAGTACTGAATGAATGTGATATTTCAGACGTATATGAAAGCAACGACATGAATGTCAAAGAGAAAGAGGGCGAACGACAGCGTGTCCGCCGCCGGCAGGCCGAAGAACAGGCCGCTGAAATGGCAAGACTACGGCAGGAAGTGCTGGATCCCAGACAAACCCTGGACCAATCAGATCCAAACTACACTACTCACCAGGAGCAGATGCAGAACCGAGAGCGGATGCTACAGGAACAGTTAAACCAGGACATGCTACCACTGCTTCCTACTTATATGTAGAAGGGTAGAAGAAAAGAGAAGAGGAACTAATTACCCGATTCGGCAGCAACGCTGGAACGCTGCACTTCATCCTTCAAGAACCCTACGCCATATTACCTTCCAGGACATTGGTTTCATCAACACTATTGCTTCACGAGGCCCGGGATGGACGAGCAATAATAATAGAAATCGGGAGATACGACCCAACCGTGAGCCTCAGGGGGTGACCGTATGGTTACAAGAAAATGGCGTCTGTTAGTACCCAATTATCTGTGAATATTATATCCTTGGTAATGGAATCACCCGCTTGACAAGAAACTGTTGATAAATTATGAAAATATCATAAAAGAACAAACAGTAATCTACAAAACTATTATAATCAGATCAGACACAGCAGCAGAAAAGCCAGCTAATATCTATCATATTTGAAACAAAAAAAAAATAAAGAAATAAAGCAACTTTGATCATGCTAGAAGCCTTGGTCACCGTGAAGGACATGGGATAAAGTGTTGCCGCCACTAAGAGAGGCCTTCTCACCCCAGCATTTCTTAGAAAGCTCCGGGAAAAAGAAGTTGTTGTTCAAGAAGACGAAGTGAAATTGTTTTACCGAAAGTTCATGAAGCCGCCTCAGAATAGTCTCGAGCAGGAAGCCCAAGAACTATCTAGTAATACTTGAGGGCTCACCTAAGATGAGGTTAATGGTTGGAATACTCCGCGACCAAGCCTTACTCCGAAATGGACGAATTCTGTCTAGTCTGACCGCTCCTCTGACCGCTAAAAGCGGCAGAACCTCGTCGACTGCAGAAGCCCCTGAAGTCTGTGACTCTGATAATGATGACCTGGAAGGAGAAGAAGGGTGAGGAACCACAGGATTTTATATAGGTTCAACCATGCGGCACTGCGCCTAGAGAAATTTGCCGGGCTGGGGAGAATCGCCCGCCAAGGGATGTTCAGCATAAGATGCACGAAGAGACATCGGAGCAAGGGCTAGCTTTCCGGGTTTCTGCTGAAAGGCGGACATTCGAGAATTATTCGCTGAAATACAGGGGTTCATAGATAGGGCATTGTTTATCTGAAGCTAGACTTACTAGGTGGTTGGTAGAGTGAAGTGGAGGATGTTTATGCATTGACAGTTTAGGTGCTGGGGAGTAATATGTGCTTCTAGCATGGATTTACGCTAAAACATCAAGCTACAATATTAAACAGTTCTTGTCTGTGGTCTTCCTGGGGGGTGCCGGCTACTCTAATGCACTTTGCACAGTGGCAGCAGTGGTAGCAGTAAACATACAATTAAAAGAAATAGAGTAGACCAACGATCTAGAATTGAACGCAATGTAAGATCTATTAGATATAGGATAAACAAGCGATGTCACACAACCCCAAAATTCTATTATCGCCCCTCAAATCAAGCCTCAATCATCAACTGCTCTCCCTCATCCAACAACGTTGTCACTCTAGACAGATCCGAAATCATCTTATTACCATGTCCAACCAGAAGCAATTTCTCGGCATTGGCCGGCAGACCCAAGTACGTCGGGGGTTCACGCTCCGGCAGCTTATTGACCCATTCGACAAAGTCCCGAATGCTTGTTCCACCAGGCAGGGTAAGACAGTCGTCGTTTTCGACACCGGAAACGATCTTGTGCTCGTCCTCGAAAGCCGCCGGTGTAAGAAGATTAGTCACCAGGCTCTCGAGCTGCTTGAAATCGGCGAAGTCATCGACCTTGCCACCGTAGGTCTCGGTCACGAGGGTGCGGATCATGTCCCAGGGCAGTTTCTGAGGAGCCACGTTGGATCGGCCTTGGGCGATGGTGTCAACCCAGTAGTCGATGATGTGGGCGGAGCATTCGTACTAAAGCAACTATGTTAGTGGGATGCTGTGATAAAGTAGGTTGGGTTGGTTGACTTACATCACTGTCGTTAAACTCCCAGAATCCCTTCCAGCCCAGGCTCGGGGCGTAGCGAAGTCGCTCCTGCACCACAGCATGCAAGAAGCACAGAAGGAGGTAGACACGAGCCTTTTCGACCGGTGCCTTGGAGGCCCGGGTAGACAACGAAGACAGAGAATCCTTCATGTTGGCGCGCACACCAGCAGGCTGCTCGTACATGAGCACGCGAGAAGCACGGAGGAGGTTGACTGGAATCTTGGGACTCGATTCCATCGACAGGAAGAGTCTGAAGTCCTTGTGAGGCTTGAGGGACTCGAGCCTCTTCTCCAAGCTTTGCAGCCATGACGGCGCCAGGTGTACGTTCTTGACTTGAACCCAGTTACCTGCGGCAGCTGCATTGCTGATTGCCTTATCAGCACTCTCAAGACCTTCGTTCGAACCCATAGCGATGTTGGCACAGGTTGCATTCATGCGCTCGACAAGAGCATCGACCTTGTAACTGGCATCGAAACCAGGGCTGGAGCTGAGGGCAATGGGCGTGGTTGCTGTGACTTGGCTAACAATGTCCTTCAAGTCGGTGCTTCCCTCGAAGAGCTCTCTGCCAAAGACGGCCTCGATGAAGCGTTCCGCAGTTGGCACGAATCTGTCCATTCTGCAGAGCTTCACAAGCAACAATGAGCGCAGCAGCCTGTCAATGTTCTCTGTAGTCTCTTCCCAGACGACAGGGATCGAGTTCTCCGCGAGCTCATCGCTAAAGAACTGCTCCCATTGCTCTGATGTGATCGTAGGGAAGATCGACTTGTAGAGCGACATATTGGCAATCTTGTTCAAGACCTGGTCCTTGAGTTCAGGTGAAGTTGACAGGTCCACGCTCTCCATGGACTCATCAAGGATCATATCAATGATCCTCTTGTCCATAGGGTAGGGGGCTGCTTGGGCAAGAAGCATAGCAAATGTGATGCGGTCCTTCTGGATCAGTCCCAATGAAGTACGTTGGTAAGTTGTCACGAAGAGGTCGCGAAGAATGATCTGTACGCGTGCAGAGTGGTCCTTTTCTTGAGCGAGGCGCTTGTTCTGGTAGAGTACAGAGTTGAAGATATCAACGAAAAACTGCAGGGAGAACTGGTAGAAATGGTTGACATGGTGCAGTTGCTCCAGGACTGCGAAAACAGCACTGCAAGAACGGGCAATAATGCTGTAGTTGAGCGTGATATTTTCAACTTCGGTCATGACTCCCTCTGTCTCCACCATCTTCTTGGAGATTTCTGCGGCCTCCTTCTTCAGAGTCTCGAGGGTCTCAATGACGTTGTCATCGTCAAGAATGTTACCGCGCGACTCGTTCAGTGCCTGCAAGAGTCGCTTCTCGAGCTGACGCAGGTGAATCTTGAACTCGCCCTGCAACTTGACCAGATCGGTACGACGCGCGTCTACATCTGGACGCTCGAACTTCAGGACCTCGTTGAGAGACTGGGTCTGCAAACTGCTCTGCGTGACAGTGAAGTTGACAAAGGTTGTGCGACTGCATACGTCCGGTGGGAAGGTGGCAGAAGGATCTCTCGTCGAGAGGAAGAGCTTGAAGGATGGCGAGAAATCAATCTCCTGCTTTCCGAGTTGAATGAGAACACGGCCACCCGTCTTCTGGTATTCCTTGTTGAGGACGTGGTTGAGAATAGGATCAAGATGTTCAGCATCCTGGATGAGGATGGGGTTTCCGAAACGCAGAGCACTCTCCAATTGCTTGACAAACGAATCATCCAAGAAGCTAGTAACAGTGAGCTTCCTGTCGGTGCTCTCCTTCTCCAAG